ACAGGAAGCGAGATCAAGATCAAAAACTTTCTCTTTCTGGAAATTTATTTAAAAAACTCCTGAAGACAGTTTGTTTTCAGTTGCTAGATGCAACAGTCAAAACTATAAGCACTTATTTTTAAAGCTCTTCACACAGTCTGCGTCACCAAACCGATAATCCACTTCCAAACGTCCCTGAAGGCACCGGAACACGAAATACCTGTTTAACCAAAAGTCTCAGAGAGCGCTCACGAAAACACTCCCCACAGGGACGTACATCAGAAACTTTATCGTAATAAATCACTGTTTTATTGTTCGGCACAGAACCTTTGAACCTTTCTTAAATCTTAAAACTACTTGTTCAACCTCCACATCATCTCGTCACTCGTGCATATCGTTAAAAGCAATTTCTCATTCTTTTGAACAATTGCACATGATTATTCATGACAACCGTCTGCTGTTTCCTGCATTATCTTAGTCATGTTGATCACGATGGATCCTACCGGTTCTCTGTTGAACAGTCTGACGCCTCAAACATCTCGTTCGTTTCATAAATCACTATTTGCACAACGGTTGAACACGTTGTCATAATCTGTCAAGCACATTTTCTACATGTCTGTAAACGTGTCCTAACTGATGAAGATTCCGTAGTGACGTGGAAAAGAATCTGTGGCTTCAGCCTCAGGGCTGTTTACATTTCCTCCAGTATTTTGTGCTCTGCAGGGCTGTAAACCGTCTCCTGGTTTTACAAAGAGACGCTTGTATTCAGCACAAATATACCACACACACACACACACACACACATTACATGTAAGTAATAAACAGTTCTATAATAAGCTTGAAAAGTACAATAAATACATGATAATAAAAAGACAATCAATCACCAATCCGCACACACACGGACACACACACATAGATGAATGAGTAATCAATCAGCCGTTCATGTTTCTGATGGACGTGGGCACAAAACTTGTCATGGCTCTCTTAGTCCTGAATGTGAGTGATCTGGATCTCTGGCCTGAGGGTAGGAGACTGTGAGTGTGTTCCTTTTAGTTTAGTCCCTGTTGTAAATACTGATAAGTGGTTCCTGCACTTGTACGATTATTTTGTCATGACTTTGTTTAGTGAGTTGCGATGGATGGATGTTAGATGATGATCCAAACCAGGCTGATATAGTGAGTTAGTGGTGTCCATGATCACAGTGTCGTCGGGATATTTAAGGGATGTACTCACCGGGGTTAGTGCTCCTGCAGTCATTAGTGTATAGTGTGTACAGAACCGGTGAGATTTCAGAGCTTAGTGGGGCTCCGGTGGAGACCGTTGACTCGGACCCTCTTGTTTCTATCTGTCAGAAAAGACAGGATCCAGACAATAAGGCGCGAGTTCACGTCCGTTTGGAGCAGTTTTTTGTCCCATCAGGTGATGATGCACCGTGTTAAAAGCACCTGAGAAATCCACGAAGACCAGTCTGATTTGAGTTTTTCAAGATGACATTACAGATAAAATAAAATCAGGTACAACACCAGGAACTGAAAACCCAAACCAAAGAGTTTTCTAAATGTTGCCTTGTTATCTTTTAGCCTCAGAGACGTTAAGGGTTTTAACACAGCTCATAATAATCAGTCTAAACCTCTGAACCAGTTTTTCACTCTTTCACTCAGCAATCACTGTTGTTCCTTTGCAGGTGAGTCAGACCTCATAGTATCTTCACAAATTTAAAATGTGCATTTGTCCGTTTTATATTAAAATGAGGAACATGAGGAATGTTTATGTCGTCTCTTATGACTCTGCACAGACTTTGAAAGCTCTTCAACAGGTTCAGTCCAGCCCGGCTTTGCTTTGTACATCCAGTCAGTCTATGTTACTCAACAAAGTGTCGGACTGTCCACAGAATACTTCACATGTTCACAGACAGACGAGTGCGACATTTACGGATAAAGAAAAGGGCGCAGGATCAGTGGAGTCAAATTCAGAATTAATCCTGTGCAGGTGCAGAGGTCTAACCCTGACGCTTTACTGCAGAGAATCCAACCACGTGATTGGCAGATAAACAGCTACCATCAGAAACACTGTCCTGAATAAAAGACTGAACTCAGTTCCTGTAGCCTCAGCGCCACCGCGTTTTCTACCGTGCACCGTCTCAGAGCTCAGGTCAATGGATTCAGTCCTCCGGTCCTGCTCAGGTATCACAGTCTCTAAACACACATCACATCTCCAGCAGCTCATCACTGATTTACAGCTTTATTAATTAACTGCTCTGCTCCCTGTACTCCGTGTCCTGTTTCTGTGATTTGGATTATTTCCGCCCTGTTGAATCTACTTTATTTGGACTCTTACCTGCTGCGCTCCATTTGCACCTGTGTACTGATCCTCCCTTCAGTCTGTTTGCTCCTCTGGAACAGAAGCTGAATGTAAACCGCAGGCCAAGACGCCAATTAGCCCCGCTTTAAACAAAGACCTCAAACTCCCACCTTGTTCACAACTGTAAAGAGATGCCGCCCCCCTTCAAACATTCCTTAACATTACCAGATGAAGCAGATTAATGCAAAGGTGACAGAGGCAATCAACCCTGAGGCTGAAATATGAGAGTGGCAAGAAAGTAAAGGCCAAATTCCCATTTAGTATTTCTTTATTTGCTTTTGATGTTTTGTATTGTGTTAATGCTTTTTTATATTTTATTCTTCTGTTTCAAAATTGTTAAAAAATAAATAATAAGTTTAATTGATTTTGACTTTGATACTTGTTTATACAGTTGTAGTCTTTACCTGGAGTTGTCTGTTAGAATATTGTAATTGTAATTGAAAAATTGTGAATATTTGATATAGGTGTTTTTAATGTTCCATGTTTGAGGTGAATATCAATATCTTTTTCAGTGTGCATGATTGTGTTAATAAATGTAGTGATTTAACTGGAAAATGGATCAGTTAATGGATAAAGATCCATGATAATGGGTTGCTTCTGACTCACAGTCAGCTGATCCATGCTCACACTACACACAGAGCAGTCGATCCCAGAGAGAGTCGATCCTTTATTTCTCTCGTCATCTGAACCGGAAATCAACAGAAGGCTGACAGAGGCTCTGGTGCAGGTCCGACCCGGAGCTTTCAGTCATGGTCTTCGAGTCTGTGGTCCGACCTGCTCAACAAGTTCATCGGGACTACGTGGAGAACCTTGACAAGTCCCAGCTCAAGATCGGGATCTGGGGAGGTGAGCTCAGCATCTAGCTAGCACAGCAACCGCGGTTACACACGGAGACGCCAGACTCTGTTCAGAAACATCACGCTTTAAAACTCCCTGCTTTCTAAACGAGCACGAACGCACCGCAGAACATGTCGGAACATCTGACGCTAATCTCCAGGTTCTCCTCTTAAAGTCGGCATTAGTGTAACCAGCAGTCAGCTGTTGTTCGGGTGAAATGGGAAAGTTTGTTGGAAGCGTCGCCTGCTGCGCTGCGTTATCTGACAGAGACGTTAGCGGAAGCGAGCTGTGTGTCGCGGTCATGAACGTCAGGTTGAGTTCGTCACAGAGACGATGTTTGTTGCATGTGTGGCCTTGATCATCAGGGAAGGGTCATTATTGTTTGATCGCTACATTCAGAAAAAGAAAGTGCAGAAACCTCGGTCACATTAACTTAGCAGGTGTTCGAAGGAGGTTTGGTGGGCGTGATAACCCTCCGTCACTGAGCGTCGGCAGGCGGTAAACAAACTCTCTGATCTCAGATCCGTGTGTTCCTGCAGATCCGAACAGAAACTCAGCTGCTCATCTGACACACTGCCAGAGTTAATTCAGCTGAGAATCCAAAACCTGCTGATCAGCTTAACACACATCCGACTCTACCTGCGTGTGTGTGTGTGTACAGAAATGTGTGTGTGTGTGTGTGTGTACAAATGTATGTGTGTGTGTGTGTGTGTGTGTGTGTGTGTGTGTGTGTGTGTGTGTACAAGTGTGTGTGTGTGTGTGTGTGTGTGTGTGTGTGTGTGTGTGTGTGTGTGTACAAGTGTGTGTGTGTGTGTGTGTGTACAGGTGTGTGTGGGTGTGTGGGTGTGTATATACATGGTGTGTGTGTATATACAGGTGTGTGTGTGTGTGTGTGTATATACAGGTGTGTGTGTGTGTGTGTTATACAGGTGTGTGTGTGTTTGTGTGTGTGTGTGTGTATATACAGGTGTGTGTGTGTGTGTGTGTTGTGTATATACAGGTGTGTGTGTGTGTGTGTGTGTGTGTGTGTATATACAGGTGTGTGTGTGTGTGTGTGTGTGTATATACAGGTGTGTGTGTGTGTGTGTGTGTATATACAGGTGTGTGTGTGTGTGTGTGTGTGTGTATATACAGGTGTGTGTGTGTGTGTGTGTGTGTATACAGGTGTGTGTGTGTGTGTGTATAACAGGTGTGTGTGTGTGTGTGTGTGTATATACAAGTGTGTGTGTGTGTGTGTGTGTGTGTATACAGGTGTGTTGTGTGTGTGTTGTGTATACAGGTGTGTGTGTGTGTGTGTGTGTGTGTATACAGTGTGTGTGTGTGTGTGTGTGTGTGTGTGTATTACAGGTGTGTGTGTGGTGTGTGTGTGTGTGTATATACAGGTGTGTGTGTGTGTGTGTGTGTGTGTGTGTGTATATACAGGTGTGTGTGTGTGTGTGTGTGTGTGTGTATATACAGGTGTGTGTGTTTGTGTATACAGGTGTGTGTGTGTGTGTGTGTAATAGGTGTGTTGTGTGTGTGTGTGTATACAGGTGTGGTGTGTGTATACAGGTGTGTGTGTGTATACAGGTGTGTGTGTGTGTGTGTGTGTATACAGGTGTGTGTGTGTGTGTGTGTGTGTGTGTGTATACAGGTGTGTGTGTGTGTGTGTGTGTGTGTATACAGGTGTTGTGTGTGTGTGTGTGTGTGTGTGTGTATACAGGTGTGTGTGTGTGTGTGTGTGTGTGTGTGTGGTGTGTTGTGTGTGTGTGTGTGTGTATATACAGGTGTGTGTGTGTGTGTGTGTGTGTGTGTGTATATACAGGTGTGTGTGTGTTTGTGTATATACAGTGGTGTGTGTGTGTATATACAGGTGTGTGTGTGTGTGTGTGTGTGTATACAGGTGTGTGTGTGTGTATACAGGTGTGTGTGTTGTGTGTGTGTATACAGGTTTGGTGTGTGTGTGTGTGTGTGTATACAGGTGTGTGTGTGTGTGTGTGTGTGTATACAGGTGTGTGTGTGTGTGTGTGTGTGTGTGTATACAGGTGTGTGTGTGTGTGTGTGTGTGTGTGTATATACAGGTGTGTGTGTGTGTGTGTGTGTGTGTGTATATACAGGTGTGTGTGTGTGTGTGTGTGTGTGTGTATATACAGGTGTGGTGTGTTTGTGTATATACAGGTGTGTGTGTGTGTGTATATACAGGTGTGTGTGTGTGTGTGTGTGTATACAGGTGTGTGTGTGTGTATACAGGTGTGTGTGTGTGTGTGTGTGTGTATACAGGTGTGTGTGTGGTGTGTGTGTGTGTGTGTATATATAGGTGTGTGTGTATATACAGGTGTTTGTGAGTGTGTGTGTATATATAGGTGTGTGTGTATATACAGTGTTTGAGTGTGCGTGTTTGTACAGGTGTGTGTGTGTGTACATGTGTGTATATACGTGTGTGTGTGTGTGTGTACAGATGTGTGTGTATATACTGTGTGTGTGTGTGTACAGATATGTGTGTATATACGTGGTGTGTGTGTACAGATATGTGTGTATATACGCGTGTGTGTGTTGTACAGATATGTGTGTGTGTGTGTGTGTGTGTGTGTGTGGTGTGTACAGGTGTGTGTGTTGTACAGGTGTGTGTGTGTACAGGTGTGTGTGTGTACAGATATTGTGTGTGTGTGTGTGTGTACATGTGTGTGTGTGTACGGGGTGTGTGTGCAGGTCTGTTTTATACGTGTGTGTGTTGTGTGTGTGTGTACAGGTGTGTACAGGTGTGTGTGTGTGTGCAGGTGTGTAGGTATGTGTGTGTGTGCAGGTCTGTTTATATCGTGTGTGTGTGTGTGTGTGCAGGTGTGGTACAGTGTGTGTGTGTACAGGTGTTTACAGGTGTGTGTGTGTGTGCAGGTGTGTACAGGTATGTGTGTGTGTGCAGGTCTGTTTATATACGTGTGTGTGTGTGTGTGTGTGCAGGTGTGTACAGGTATGTGTGTGTGTACAGGTGTTTACAGGTGTGTGTGTGTGTGCAGGTGTGTACAGGTATGTGTGTGTGTGCAGGTCTGTTTATATGTGTGTGTGTGTGCAGGTCTGTTTATATACGTGTGTGTGTACACACAGGTGTGTTGATCCACACAAAAAGAAACAGAACTCTATGAGAGGCCGATTAGGGTGAAAACATTAAAAAACAGACACGCACACTGAAAACTGTCACACACGCACTGACACTGCGCGCATATACACTGAAATACAGGGGTATCTGAGTGTGTGCGTGTAAAATTATTTTATTGCGTCCGGAAGCTGTTGTAGTGTAACAGGAAGCCTTAGATTCCTGTCCTAACTTTCAAAATAAAAGCATAGCTAACATGATGAAACGTGTATTTCAGTGCGAGTGGTATTCCTTGTTCAGAGAGATTGTTTATCTAAGCAATTATATGAACAGTTAATCATTTATTATATTTATATATTTAGTTCAGCATCCCTTAACCTACAGGGAGGGATATTTATTGTATGTCACATTTAATTTTTGCTCCTCACCTTCAGATATTTTATAAACTTTATCTCTGTCTTCTTATTCACATGAAACCTACAACACTTCACTTCATTTGCTGAGCTTATTATACACATTCTACATGTATTTTGACCATGGATATTAGCTAGCTGCATCAGTGACTTCCTGTTACAATGAAACGGGCAGTGAAATGACTTCACAAGCACACACTTCAGTGCGTGTGCTTGGTGTGTTGTTGGTGCATGTATGATCATTTTCAGTGTGTATGTGCACATTGTCAATGTGAATGTGACAGTTTTCAGTGCGTCTGTTTTTCAATGTTTTCACCCTAAATGCCCTCTTATAGAACTCAGTATTAATGACTGCACACAGAAGGATTCCCACGTGTATTCCAAAGTATTTGTACTGTAATTTTGGACATGTTTGAGGTTCCTTCCTTGAGGTTCCTCCTAAGCAAACTTCACAGAGACAAACACTGAAACACACACACGCACGCACACACACACACACACACACACACACACACACACACACACACACACACACACACACACACACACACACACACCACACACACACACACACATTTACCTGCGTGTGTGTGTGTGTGTTTGATTATTTATTAATCATCTTATTTCAGTTTCATCAGCAGGTTATTCTGTTAGAGTTATTCTTTACAGCCATCAGTGTGACAGAGGATTCACTGCAGATAAAGAATCTTACATATTTATTTATTTAGCAAATTATAATGTAACTCAGCAGTAAACAGGAATTATCTGTATCTGCCAATCAGAAGGCTGGTTCGGCTTCAGCCAATCACTAAGCGTAGATTTGAGGGTGTGATTGAATGTGGTCACTTGGCGTTCCATCAGCAGTCTGCAGTCAGCTGATTTTAATATGAAACACGAGAAGCTGATGTGCTGCAGATATAAATATCTTATGATGTATTCATCATGATCCAGACACTGTTCTTTTATCAGATGGTTCCACGCAGATCCTACATGTGTTACACTTTGCTGCTACTTTACTCACCATCCTTTAATGTTCAGAGGGCTGTTTGTCAACAAAAGGCAGCAGAACCAGTCTGCCAGATCTGGCCCGGGAGTCTGGATTCTGGATCTCTGCAGATGAATTCATCATGCGACCTAAACTGAACCTTTAATGAAACTGAGAGAAGGAAGGCACCTGGCAGCTCGTAAACGTCACATCCTTTTTCCTTTCAGCCGGTCACAGGCTGTTACATTTACATTTATTCATTTAGCTGACGCTTTTATCCAAAGCGACTTACAGTTGCTAATTATGTCAGAGGCCTCTGGAGCAACTAGGGGTTAAGTGTCTGTTACGGGCTGCAGATCAATCAGAAATACTTTATTGATCCCTGAGGGGAAATTCTGGAGTCACAGTTGCTCATATTGCACATTAAAGTATAAAGGAATAGAAATATTAATAGTGGTCGGTTCTGTTAGTCAGGAGTGACTTCCTGTAGTCGGTTCTGTTAGAGGCAGAAGTGACTTCATGTGGTCGGTTCTGTTCTGTTAGTCAGGAGTGACTTCCTTTTTTCCTTACAAAAGTAACTTTTTTAAATAGGAAGAGGTTCCTGGTTCAGTGTCAGTAATGGGTCTAAAAATAAGAAATAATATGTGAATTTGTGATACTATAAAAATTATATTTGAAATATAAACAAAGGAAAAACAGAAACACTGTTGACTTGATTGTTTACTTTTTGTGTCTCTGCAGGAAATGTTGTACTCGAGAACCTAAAAGTGAAGGAGAATGCTTTGGTAAGGCTCCGCCTCCTCCCTCTGATGTCATTATCCAGAGTGTTTCTGATAGGTCCCTTTTCCTTCAGAGTCCCACCTCAGTGTACCTGAGAGTCCGCTGATCAGCTGATTGATGATGGACCTGACGGTCTCAGCTGTATATCGACATTTTGTGTGTTTGTGTTTCAGAGTGAGTTTGACGTTCCGTTCAAAGTGAAGGCCGGACAGATCGGTGAGTACTAAAGTTCTGACTCTCAGAACCCCACCACACACAGTCAGACAGAACCCAGAACAGAGTGAACCCAGAGGAGACTAAACCCAAAGCAGTCAGATCCTAGAACAGACAAAACCCAGAACGGAGTGAACTCAGAGCAGACTGAACCCAGAGCAGACTAAACCCAAAGCAGTCAGATCCTAGAACAGCCAGAACCCAGAGCTGCCAGATCCTAGAACAGACAGAACCCAGAGCAGACAGAACCCAGAGCAGACAGAACCCAGATCAGACAGAACCCAGAACAGAGTGAACTCAGAGCAGTCAGAACCCAGAGCAGACAGAACCCAGAACAGTGTGTCAGAGCAGTCAGAACCCAAAGCAGTCAGATCCTAGAATAGACAGAACCCAGAGCAGACTGTACCCAGAATAGAGTGTCAGAGCCGTCAGAACCCAAAGCAGTCAGAACCCAAAGCAGTCAGAACCCAGAGCAGACAGAACCCAGAGCAGACAGAACCCAGAACAGATTGTCAGAGCCGTCAGAACCTAAAGCAGTCAGATCCCAGAGCAGTCAGAACTCAAAGCAGACTAAACCCAGAGCAGACTAAACCCAGAGCAGTCAGAAGCCAAAGCAGTCAGATCCTAGAACAGCCAGAACCCATAGCTGCCAGATCCTAGAACAGACAGAACCCAGATCAGACAGAACCCAGATCAGACAGAACCCAGAACAGAGTGAACTCAGAGCAGTCAGAACCCAGAACAGTGTGTCAGAGCAGTCAGAACCCAAAGCAGTCAGATCCTAGAATAGACAGATCCAAGAGCAGACAGAACCCAAAGCAGACAAATCCTAGAACAGACTGAACCCAGAACAGAGTGTCAGAGCAGTCAGAACCCAAAGCAGTCAGATCCTAGAATAGACAGAACCCAGAGCAGACAGATCCCAGAGCAGACAGAACCCAGAACAGAGTGTCAGAGCCGTCAGATCCCAGAGCCGTCAGATCCCAGAGCAGCCAGATCCCAGAGCAGCCAGATCCCAGAGCAGCCAGAACCCAGAGCAGCCAGAACCCAGAGCAGCCAGAACCCAGAGCAGACAGAACCCAGAACAGAGTGTCAGAGCCGTCAGAACCTAAAGCAGTCTGATCCTAGAGCAGCCAGAACCCAGAGCAGCCAGAACCCAAAGCAGACAGATTCTAGAGCAGCCAGAACCCAGAGCAGACAGATCCTAGAACAGACAGAACCCAGAGCAGACTAAACCCAGAGCAGACAGAACCCAGAACAGACAGATTCTAGAGCAGCCAGAACCCAGAGCAGACAGATCCTAGAATAGACAGAACCCAGAGCAGACAGATCCTAGAATAGACAGATCCAAGAGCAGACAGAACCCAAAGCAGACAAATCCTAGAACAGACTGAACCCAGAACAGAGTGTCAGAGCAGTCAGAACCCAAAGCAGTCAGATCCTAGAATAGACAGAACCCAGAGCAGACAGATCCCAGAGCAGACAGAACCCAGAACAGAGTGTCAGAGCCGTCAGATCCCAGAGCCGTCAGATCCCAGAGCAGCCAGAACCCAGAGCAGCCAGAACCCAGAGCAGACAGAACCCAGAACAGAGTGTCAGAGCCGTCAGAACCTAAAGCAGTCTGATCCTAGAGCAGCCAGAACCCAGAGCAGCCAGAACCCAAAGCAGACAGATTCTAGAGCAGCCAGAACCCAGAGCAGACAGATCTTAGAACAGACAGAACCCAGAGCTGACTAAACCCAGAGCAGACAGAACCCAGAACAGACAGATTCTAGAACAGCCAGAACCCAGAGCAGACAGATCCTAGAATAGACAGAACCCAGAGCAGACAGATCCCAGAGCAGACAGAACCCAGAACAGAGTGTCAGAGCCGTCAGATCCCAGAGCCGTCAGATCCCAGAGCCGTCAGAACCCAAAGCAGCCAGAACCCAGAGCAGCCAGAACCCAGAGCAGCCAGAACCCAGAGCAGCCAGAACCCAGAACAGAGTGTCAGAGCCGTCAGAACCTAAAGCAGTCTGATCCTAGAGCAGCCAGAACCCAGAGCAGCCAGAACCCAAAGCAGACAGATTCTAGAGCAGCCAGAACCCAGAGCAGACAGATCCTAGAACAGACAGAACCCAGAGCAGACTAAACCCAGAGCAGACAGAACCCAGAACAGAGTGAACTCAGAGCTGTTAGAACCCAAAGCAGTCAGATCCTAGAACAGACTGAATCCAGAGCAGACAAATCCTAGAACAGACTGAAGAATTACCGACCCTTCAGTCGTTGTTTTGGCCATTGTCTCTGTTCACCACCAAGAACGATCCATAAAGTTCATACAGTCAACGGGGCCCAGATGTGGAGATCATTTCTTCTAACCCACAGCACCTTATGACTCGGCTCTGAGTTCTGTCACTTTTCCTTCTCCACTTCAACACACCCGGGGAATATCTGGGATGTGAGGCGGGCGGGTTGGCGGCTCCAGAGATGTTTTTTGAAATGTTTTGTAACATCAGTTTCCAGTTTCTGTAGAGCTGCTGTCTGTGATAATAACTGTGTCAAACACAGATGAAGCTGTAGACCCCAGTTATTATTTTCAGTAGCAGGAAGATTTTCAGGGATTCTTTGCAAATCTCTGGTTGTTTATGGAAATCTGTGGCTGTTATTGTTGACTGATGGATCTGTGAGCGATGCAGAGTCTGCTCTCCTCTCATGTTTTAGCAGATATATGGCAACATAACCCGTCTGAAAGTCTTACTGACCTCCACTGTGACTTTGTTGTTTGTTTGTGTTGTTGGGTGCCTTTGTTGTTTTGACACAAAGTCTCCCATAAACACAAGCTGACCGATGGAGGCAGCTGTAGGCCAAAGTGGTAACATTAGGGTTTTTGTTAATGGAGTCTGGTGACTTTGAACAGAGCGATATAGCGACTGTTTCTGGTTAAACAAGAAAGATCTTATTCTTTAAAAAAGGTCTCTCTGCAGGGATCCTTTCATAATGCTGTCAGACACCTGTATAACAGTCTGAGCTCTTTAGTGGACGGCACGGATTACATGGCAGATGTTTTCAGCTGCTGCAGGTTGGTGCTTTTCACGTTTGTATTCTCTGAGGACAGTTTGCTGTTGTAGTGGGATTTGACCAGCTGCTCCTCTCTCTGACAACAAGCTGCTACGTTCTGGCTACGAGCCTGAAAGATGGCGGCTGAGGTCAGGTGACAGCACCATGTCCTTCGCTTGCCGTCTGGATCATGTTGTTATGGGTCAGGTCTGGATTCAGTTGCATTTCAGTCCAGCGTTCGACCAGGGTTTGTCCAGTATTTACATGCTTCAGTTGGTGTGCACGAATTACTAATAAAGTTTATTTTTATAGAACTTTTATAGAAAATCAGCAATTACCACACAATTTACAAAAAGTAAAACATAGAAAGATAAGAAATTATATTAGGTAGCAAGAACAAATGAGGAATATAGCAAGAAAACACACTAGTGCACACAGCCATCAGAGGTAAGAACCCAGGACCTAAAACAAAGGACAGCACACAGAACACTGGGACCACTTCATCACAAATATCATCGAGAAGCGTTTAAAGGTAACGAGTAGGATTTTGATGGTCAGTAAGGATGTTGCACTGAACTACAACCACAGACACAAAAGATCAAATAAACCCAGAAAAACAAGCACAACGTAGCTGAAGTTAGCTGATAAACTAAGCTCCCAGCTGTTTGTGTTTTCAGGGAAGCTGACGCTGAAGATTCCCTGGAAGAATCTTTACAATGAAGCCGTGGTGGCCACGTTGGACGGTCTGTACCTGCTGGTCGTCCCTGGAGCCAGTAAGTGGATCAGTTCTGTCGGTACATTTCACGTCATGCAGAGAACGTTTAACCGGGGACAACAAAGAGACAGGAAACATTTGTAATATTGTCCCACAGACCGAGGTTACAATCAATCTGTCCATGTATCATCAATCATCAATCATCTGTCCATGCATCTTCACGTTCCGCCTACTGTGCGTCGGTGCAGCGTCAGGAAGCAAAGCATGCTGGGGGATCATACAGAGACGTGACTCTTCTGTGTGGTTTGTGTTTTTGCAGCGTTAAAGTTTGATGCAGGGAAGGAGGAGCGTTACCAGCAGGAGATGAAGCAGAGAGAGCTGCAGCACATCGAGGAGGCACTGCAAACGGCTGCACGCCGAGGTGAGACAGGCTGACCTCTGACCTCTGACTCCACCTGAGCACTCACCTTCTGCTGTTTGTTTTCTGCCTCCTCTCTGCTGATCTGAACTTTCTCTTCCTGCACCGAAACAAAGAGAGCAGATTGAAAGCGCCAAGCAGTCCCTGACCCTTATTAATAATCAGTGTCTGCAGCTTCATGTTCTCACTAAGCTCAGCACTGCTGAGCAGCGTGGCGTCAGGTATTTCAGGAAGTTCAATATAAAAGCGTAGAAATCTGGATCACACAGAGGAGATGGTACAGTGGAGATCTGATGGTTCTTCTGTTGGTAAAAGAGGAACAAGCTCAGCGAGTTTCTGTGACAGTCTGGTGCCCAAACTAACCCATCAGACCTCATCACTTAGATCTCCATTACAAGTATTGATCAGTCAGTAGCCAATAGAACTTCAGAGCTTGCTGTTCTACTGCAAATATTTAGTCCTTTTAGAGTTTAAAGTTTGAAATGAATAGAGGAGGCAGATGTGACCTGGAGAATGTTGGCTGGTTTCCTGATGACACACAAGATGGTATCATCAGCATAGAAATCAACGTTACGTTGGCGGCTGCCAGAGGCTGGATCTACGCTGTCAAACAGAGCTCATTATAGCCTGATAGATTGTGACGGCTGAGATCATCAGCGCTGGGTCATGGTGCTGCTGCTGTAGTGTTTGGACTTGTTGCTGGAGCTTTATTAACTGGCCGCCGTCTAAATATGCTTTTAAAAGTTCATTATTGTTGTTTTATTCCAAAACATTGGCGTGATGAGTCACATGACTTACAGAAGCTCTGTGACTCATCAGTCCTCTGAACAGATGAAACCTTTTTCTCTTGTCCTGAAGTCACAAACAGTAACTGCTTTCAGCCCGAACATGGAAACGATGTTTTAAGAAGTCAATGTATGATTTAATGTTTTAGAAGAAGAACAGCAGAGGTTTAAGCAGTTCAGTTTACATGTCGTCACATCCAGGAGTCGGTCTCCTCTCTGGGTTTAGTGACACCTGTCACCTGTCCGGTGGTGCTGAGCAGACAGATAGGCTGATGAATGTATTAACATGTTGTTTATACTGTTCATGCTGCGTTTGCTGTCAGCGTCTCAAACTGGAGATCTGCTGTACGGTCTGGAGAGTGTTGTGTACAAGGAGCCTCACAACGGTAACACACACACACACACACACACACACACACAACGTCACACACACACACACATACACAACGTCACACACACATACACAACGTCACACACACACAACGTCACACACACACACACACACACAACGTAACACACACACACACACACAACGTAACACACACACACACACAACGTAACACACACACACACAACGTACACACACACACAACGTAACACACAACGTAACACACACACACACACACACACAACGTAACATACACACACACACACACACACACACAACGTAACATACACACACACACAACGTCACACACACACACAACGTAACACACACACACACACACAACCACACACACACACACACACACAGACTGTAACTGATCCTGGATCAGGCGGGACTGTCGGTACATGCTGACTTCACGCGGGACTGTTTTTACCACCCTGCCTCCCAACGCTCTTTAACAGCCGTTTGTAAAATCCAGGTGTTCGTATCAAACTCATACTTTAACTTTAAATAACAGAAGACGTCTTTGCTTCTTAGCAGATGATTTTAAACTCTGCGTTGTGATTGGCTTCTCCTCTTGCCCACCTGCTGACCCTGACTCTGAATATGATGAATGTCTTTCTGCTTCCTGTCTGTGTTTCGGGCTTTTCTATCTCTAATTGCCATCTCTCTGTTTAACGCTGCCAAAGTCCCAAAAGGATTTAAAAAACACAAAAAGTCTAAAAAAGGCTTGAAGAAGTTGAAACGACACGACAACAAAGCAGGTAGGTTTCATTTTTCACTGTTTACCTGCTGCAGGAGAACAGATGTTCTCTATGTGAGCTTTAAAGGTCCGATTGGTTTGCAGTCTGTACAGAACAGCTGCTGAAACTTTCACTCGGACTGAATCTCACCTGCTGCAGATGACCTGAAATCCTCCAGTGGTCTGTCAGCGACAGAGTTTCAGACATCCTGATCAGCTGATCCTGGTCTCAGGTCTCAGGACTCGTCTCTTCATAGCTTCTTGTTCGTTTCAGAGAAACCTCAGGAGGAGAAGAAGGACACGTTTGTGGAGAAGATGGCGACTCAGGTGATCAAAAACCTGCAGGTTAAGATCAGCAGCATCCACCTGCGCTACGAGGATGACGTGAGTACTGGTCCGGGCTCAGGTCCAGGTTCTGTGTGTACAGTGACCACATTAAAAACACACCTGTTCAGTGTGATGTCATTGTTGTGATGGACAGGTGAGTCAGCTTCTGTGCCTCTGTCTGTTTCAGCTGTCAGACCCACAGCGCCCCCTGTCTGTGGGAGTAACACTGTCAGAGCTCAGCCTGCAGGTAACACACATACACATTTTACCTCTGTACTTGTGAGGACCCTCACCGACGATGCGTTCCCTAAAACTCACCTGACTACCTGGGCGCCATGGGGCCCTTTGTACTCCAGCTGTAGTTCCAACAGTGAGATGTTTGAGTTTAAACTTTACAGTCACGGCAGAAGAGTTCAGATGAGTTTGAACTCCACTTTTGGCCTTACACGTGTCCACTCTGACCTCTGAAACCCTCAAACAGGAAGTGAGAGAACATATCCTCACTGTTAGGGTGTAGAATCAGACAAGTCCTCACAAAGACACAAGAATACACCCATACACACCTGTGACAGGTGATGTTAACGCGTTGTTGTTGTTTTTCAGACCACTGACGAGAACTGGAAGTCGTGTATCCTGAACGAAGCGGCAAAGATCATCTATAAGGTGATAGACCGTCCGGCTGAAACTGAAACACTAATTTCCCCTTTTCCTTCTCGTGTCAATCTCAAAGCTGTTTTTTTGTCACTCTGCCTGTCTGTCACTCTGCCTGTCTGTCACTCTACCTGTGTGAGACTCTGCCTGTCTGTCACTCTACCTGTCTGTCACTCTGCCTGTCTGTCACTCTGCCTGTCTGTCACTCTGCCTGTCTGTCACTCTGCCTGTCTGTCACTCTGCCTGTCTGTCACTCTACCTGTGTGAGACTCTACCTGTGTGAGACTCTACCTGTCTGTCACTCTACCTGTCTGTCACTCTACCTGTGTGAGACTCTGCCTGTCTGTCACTCTACCTGTCTGTCACTCTACCTGTGTGTCACTCTACCTGTGTGAGACTCTACCTGTGTGAGACTCTATCTTTCTGTCACTCTATCTGTCACTCTACCTGTGTGAGACTCTACCTGTGTGTCACTCTACCTGTGTGTCACTCTACCTGTGTGTCACTCTACCTGTGTGTCACTCTACCTGTGTGTCACTCTACCTGTGTGTCACTCTACCTGTGTGTCACTCTACCTGTGTGTCACTCTACCTGTGTGTCACTCTACCTGTGTGAGACGACTAACTTGTGTGTGAGACTCTGTGTGATGTGCACTCTGAACCGACTGAAGCTGAGTGTTGTGTCACAATGTTCTGTTTTTGATCTGTTCATGTGTTTGTCTGTGTCAGCTCGGCCGTCTGGACTGTCTGTGCGCCTACTGGAACGTTAACAGTCCCATCTTTTACAAAGGATCATGGGAAACTATCGTGGTGAGTTGATGTGGTTTGTCTGGTCCTGGGTTAAGATCCCCAGTTCTAAACAGCGGCTGCCTGCTGCTCCTAAATTTTACTATAATACTATTATAACATATTATACTATTATAATACATATATACATATATATCCAGTTCATTACTGAGCTTCAGTCTTTCTCCACTATCTGAGCTCTTTTTACGGCATGAATGGATTCTTGTTTCTGCTGCTTTATGAAGTTGATTTAAAACAATGTTGGAACATATCTGTGTGTGTTAAATAATCTGAATGACCTTTTAATGTGAAACGTTGACACACTGCCGCTGCAGCTGGAAGTGTCTGTTCAGGTTGAATCTGAAGAAATGTGACGTTCAGAGTTCGTTGCTACTTTCAGGATTTAAAAACATTTTGATCCTTATTATCCATGAAACCATATAAAGAGTTATTAAAGAGTTAGTCCGTCTTTCACGAGATCTTCCTTATTCTGTAAAAAAGTGTTGGTGTTCCTCCTCCATGTTGTCCTCTGAGTTGAAGAAGCCTCCCTTTCCTGTTTCTCTTCCTCTGTGTATCCTGCAGGATCAGCTGAAGTCTGGGATCAGCACCAAAGACCGGGAGCTTCCTCACTATCAGTACAGTGAGTTCACCACCTTGTTAACATTCACCTGTCTTCACTCTGCTGAACTTCAGGAAGGGTTAGACCTGAATACTGAGCCCAGTTTACGTGTTGATTAACACCTGCATGTTCCATAGTTTCTGTTTCACTTCTAAGAACGTTAACGATTCACTGAAACCGAAGATGCTGCTGATTAGCGCAGCAGGTCAAACAGACAGTTTGACCCTCACAGGAACCTGTAGTGTTTGATCTAGATGAATTTTCACGTTCCTACCTTTTTTAAAAGACCATCCATCAGCCTCAGAGGAAGTGATACATTCAATAATGTATTGACTATCAGCTGGATGTTGTATCAATAAATGTCCTCTTCTCTGATTGCGTGGTTTGTTTTGTAGTTTTTAAGCCGATCTTTGCTTCGGCTAAAACGTGCATCAACCCGAACGCTGAGCTGGAACTGAAAACTCCAAAAGCAAATCTTCACCTGGAGGTTCAGAACATCGCCATAGAGATGACCAAACCACAGGTAACATGTGAGACGGGCAAGGGTGGCAGCCAGGTGAGACAGGGCAGGAGAGACGGGCAGGTGAGACGGGACAGGAGAGACGGGCAAGAGAGACGGGCAAGAGAGACGGGGCAGGAGAGACGGGCAAGTGATACGGCCAAGTGAGATGGACAAGTGAGACAGGACAGGTGAGACGGCCAAGTGAGACGGGCAAGTGAGACGGGGCAGGAGAGACGGGCAAGTGAGACGGGGCAGGAGAGACGGGCAAGTGATACGGCCAAGTAAGACGGACAAGTGAGACAGGACAGGAGAGACGGGCAAGTGAGACGGGCAAGTGAGACTGGGCAGGAGAGATGGGCAAGTGAGACGGGGCAGGAGAGATGGGCAAGTGAGATGGGGCAGGAGAGATGGGCAAGTGAGACAGGGCAGGAGAGACGGCCAAGTGAGACGGGCAAGTGAGACGGGGCAGGAGAGACGGGCAAGTGAGACGGGGCAGGAGAGACGGGCAAGTGAGACAGACAAGTGAGACGGACAAGTGAGACAGGGCAGGAGAGACGGGCAAGTGAGACGGGCAAGTGAGACAGACAAGTGAGACGGACAAGTGAGACAGGGCAGGAGAGACGGTCAAGTGAGATGGACAAGTGAGACGGACAAGTGAGACAGGGCAGGAGAGACGGGCAAGTGATACGGGCAAGTGAAACAGACAAGTGAGACGGACAAGTGAGACAGGGCAGGAGAGACGGGCAAGTGAGACGGGGCAGGAGAGACGGGCAAGGGTGGCAGCCTGGTGAGACAGGGCAGGAGAGACGGGCAAGTGATACGGCCAAGTGAGATGGACAAGTGAGACAGGACAGGAGAGACGGGCAAGTGAGACAGGACAGGAGAGACGGGCAAGTGAGACGGGGCAGGAGAGATGGGCAAGTGAGACGGGGCAGGAGAGACGGGCAAGTGATACGGCCAAGTAAGATGGACAAGTGAGACAGGACAGGAGAGACGGCCAAGTGAGACGGACAAGTGAGACGGGGCAGGAGAGATGGGCAAGTGAGACGGGGCAGGAGAGACGGGCAAGTGAGACAGGACAGGAGAGACGGCCAAGTGAGACGGGCAAGTGAGACAGGGCAGGAGAGACGGGCAAGTGAGACAGGACAGGAGAGACGGCCAAGTGAGACGGGCAAGTGAGACGAGGCAGGAGAGACGGGCAAGTGAGACGGGCAAGTGAGACGAGGCAGGAGAGACGGGCAAGTGAGACAGGGCAGGAGAGACGAGGCAGGAGAGACGGGCAAGTGAGACGGGCAAGTGAGACGGACAAGTGAGACAGGGCAGGAGTGACGGGCAAGTGAGATGGACAGGTGAGACAACGGGTGAGAAAGGGCAGGTGAGACTGTTTGTGTGTTGTGGTTCTCTGATGGTGTGTTGTGGTTCTCTGTTGGTCTGTTGTGGTTCTCTGATGGTGTGTTGTGGTTCTCTGTTGGTCTGTTGTGGTTTCTGCAGTACCTGAGCATGGTGGAGGTGCTGGAGTCCATCGACTGCATGGTAAAAAACGCCCCCTACAGGAAGTTCAAACCTGATGTCAACGTCCACATGAATGCCAAACTCTGGTGAGTTCAACACAGATCATAATGTCAGAGGAACAAGAGCTGGTTCTGAATAGAAAACATAACCCGGTCTGTGTCTGACATCCATTGACAACTCAGATCATGTTTCCAGCTTCTGACAACCATTTGATCGGTTTGAAGGAAAAAAAACTCAAATGAATAAAACTGGGAAATATCAACTATTCGGATAATAACCGGTTGTTAGAACCAGGGGGTTGACTTCCAACCTGCCTGTTAGAACCAAAATGTTCCAACCTGCCTGTTAGAATTAGAACGTCAACTTCCAACCTGCCTGTTAGAACCAGGACGTTTAATTCCAACCTGCTTGTTAGAACCAGAATGTTCCAACCTGCCTGTTAGAACCACAATGTTCCAACCTGCCTGTTAGAGATGGAACATCAACTTCCAACCTGCCTGATAGAACCAGAATGGTCCAATCTGCCTATTAGAACCATTTCGTTTAATTCCAACCTGCCTGTTAGAACCATTACGTTTAATTCCAACCTGCCTGTTAGAACCATTACGTTTAATTCCAACCTGCCTGTTAGAACCATTACGTTTAATTCCAACCTGCCTGTTAGAACCATTACGTTTAATTCCAACCTGCCTGTTAGAACCATTACGTTTAATTCCAACCTGCCTGTTAGATCCATTACGTTTAATTCCAACCTGCCTGTTAGAACCATTATGTTTAATTCCAACCTGCCTGTTAGAACCATTACGTTTAATTCCAACCTGCCTGTTAGAACCATTACGTTTAATTCCAACCTGCCTGTTAGATCCATTACGTTTAATTCCAACCTGCCTGTTAGAACCATTACGTTTAATTCCAACCGGCCTGTTAGATCCAGACTGTTAACTTCCCACCTACTTGTTAGAACCTGAATGTTTCAACCTGCCTGTTAGAGCTGGAACATCACATCCAACCTGTCTGTTAAAACCAGAATGTTCCAACCTGCCTGTTAGAACCAGAACATTTACGTCCAACCTGCCTGTTAAAACCTGAACATTAACTTCCAACCTGCCTGTTAGAACCTGAACGTTAACTTCCAACCGGCCTGTTAGAACCTGAACGTTAACTTCCAACCTGCCTGTTAGAACCATTACGTTTAATTCCAACCTGCCTGTTAGAACCATTACGTTTAATTCCAACCTGCCTGTTAGATCCAGACTGTTAACTTCCCACCTACTTGTTAGAACCTGAATGTTTCAACCTGCCTGTTAGAGCTGGAACATCAACATCCAACCTGTCTGTTAAAACCAGAATGTTCCAACCTGCCTGTTAGAACCAGAACATTTACGTCCAACCTGCCTGTTAAAACAAGAACATTAACTTCCAACCTGCCTGTTAGAACCAGAAGGTTAACTTCCAACCTGCCTGTTAGAACCAGAAGGTTAACTTCCAACCTGCCTGTTAGAACCATTACGTTTAATTCCAACCTGCCTGTTAAAACAAGAACATTAACTTCCAACCTGCCTGTTAGAACCATTACGTTTAATTCCAACCTGCCTGTTAGAACCATTACGTTTAATTCCAACCTGCCTGTTAGAACCATTACGTTTAATTCCAACCTGCCTGTTAGAACCATTACGTTTAATTCCAACCTGCCTGTTAGAACCATTACGTTTAATTCCAACCTGCCTGTTAGATCCATTACGTTTAATTCCAACCTGCCTGTTAGAACCATTAAGTTTAATTCCAACCTGCCTGTTAGATCCAGACTGTTAACTTCCCACCTACTTGTTAGAACCTGAATGTTTCAACCTGCCTGTTAGAGCTGGAACATCAACTTCCAACCTGCCTGTTAGAACCATTACGTTTAATTCCAACCTGCCTGTTAGATCCAGACTGTTAACTTCCCACCTACTTGTTAGAACCTGAATGTTTCAACCTGCCTGTTAGAGCTGGAACATCAACATCCAACCTGTCTGTTAAAACCAGAATGTTTCAACCTGCCTGTTAGAGCTGGAACATCAACTTCCAACCTGCCTGTTAGAACCAGAATGGTCCAACCTGCCTGTTAGATCCAGACCGTTAACTTCCCACCTACTTGTTAGAACCTGAATGTTTCAACCTGCCTGTTAGAGCTGGAACATTAACATCCAACCTGTCTGTTAAAACCAGAATGTTCCAACCTGCCTGTTAGAACCAGAACATTTACGTCCAACCTGCCTGTTAAAACAAGAACATTTACTTCCAACCTGCCTGTTAGAACCTGAACGTTAACTTCCAACCTGCCTGTTAGAACCTGAACGTTAACTTCCAACCGGCCTGTTAGAACCTGAACGTTAACTTCCAACCTGCCTGTTAGAACCAGGACGTTAACTTCCAACCTGCCTGTTAGAACCTGAACATTAACTTCCAACCTGCCTGTTAGAACCAGGACGTTAACTTCCAACCTGCCTGTTAGAACCAGGACGTTAACTTCCAACCTGCCTGTTAGAACCTGAACGTTAACTTCCAACCGGCCTGTTAGAACCTGAACGTTAACTTCCAACCGGCCTGTTAGAACCAGGACGTTAACTTCCAACCTGCCTGTTAGAACCAGGACGTTAACTTCCAACCTGCCTGTTAGAACCTGAACGTTAACTTCCAACCTGCCTGTTAGAACCTGAACGTTAACTTCCAACCTGCCTGTTAGAACCTGAACGTTAACTTCCAACCGGCCTGTTAGAACCTGAACGTTAACTTCCAACCGGCCTGTTAGAACCTGAACGTTAACTTCCAACCGGCCTGTTAGAACCTGAACGTTAACTTCCAACCGGCCTGTTAGAACCTGAACGTTAACTTCCAACCTGCCTGTTAGAACCTGAACGTTAACTTCCAACCGGCCTGTTAGAACCTGAATGTTAACTTCCAACCGGCCTGTCCTTGTGAGATGTGTTCACGTGTGTGTGTCCGGATATCTTCAGATGTGTCCAGGTGTTTGACCTCTGAGAGTTTTGGGGGTGTTTCCTTTTGATTCCTCTCCCAGGTGGAGGTACGCCTTCAACAGCATCATGGAGGTCCACATCAGACGCTACAGTCGCATGTGGTCCTGGTCCAACATCAAACAGCACAGAGAGCACCTGAAAGTCTACAAGAGTGCCTATAAGACTAAACTGTTGAGCCAGAACAAGCCGAACCAAGACACAGAACGACAGGTCCAGGTGATGCTAACTGACCGAACGTGGCCTGTTAAACACCAACACTGGTGTAATAATAATAATGATAATGATAATAATACGTGACTCCAGCCAGCAAAGATATCAGAGTCCTCACAGGTGACATACAGAGAAAGGATCTGCAGTACATGACAAACTAACGTAGCTGTCAGGAGTTTGGATCTCTACTGAAAAGATTTGCTGACTGATACTATATATACCAGTCGTGTGTATGTATACTGATCGTTGATTGGAAATCCATTGGTCCCTGAAGTAAATTTTCAAGCACTAATCTCCTAAATGTCAATATTTGCTAATCTGGAAGATGAGGAATAATAAGAATAATCTCTCTAACTAATAATGTCAATAACTGGAAGTTGCATCCTGGTTTTGATTGATTTTGATAGCCTTTATTGTCCCCGAGGGGCAATTTATTTTGCACCAGTAGTTAATACACATCAACCAAATAATAAATAGAATACCTAAAAACATAAAACATACAATAGGTGTTATCAACATACAGTAAAGTGACCATGAGATATAGAGCACTATATATCCATAACTCCTGTATTACAATATATGAGCAACAGCAACCAGGCCTACAGTTTGTTTAAAAACCCAACAGCTAACAGAACAAATTATCTCCAACATCTATTTGATTTGGCCCTCCTAGGGAAAGTGTACCTCCTCCCCGATGCCAGAATTTGAAACCCTGCGAGAAGAGGGTGTCGAGGGTCCACCAAGATGGCTCTCTTTTTAAAAACACGTTCAAGATCATTCAAATTAGTGCCAATGGTGTTTTGGCTAACACAAGTGTTAGGACTGACTGGGTTTGTGTTTGGCCTTCTGACTGGAGTCTGCCCTGCTAATGTTTATCTCCACCAGGACCTGGAGAAAGTCCTGGATGTCTTCAACATCACTTTAGCCCGGCAGCAGGCCCAGATGGAGGTAAGCATGTACCAGACAGACCAGAGACCAGTTTGATTAGAGACCTTTTTAACCAAACCTGACCCCCTCCTCCTCGTCTTCCTCATCCAGGTGATCAGGTCCGGACAGAAGGTGGTGGGGAAGAAGGCACCAGGGGGGCAGAAGCAGGGAGGAGGTTTCTTCAGCAGCTTATTTGGTAGAAAGGCCAAGAAGGAGGAGGCGGAGCCAGAGGAGTGCAAGGACACAGAAAGTAAGTGACTCCGATTCACCTGAAAACAGCCAATCATGACTCTAGGATATGTTCAGGGGACTTTAAGTGATATTAAGTTGACAGAAGGTGACTTGAAAAGATTTTTGTCAACATGAAGATCTTTACGAGGATCTTTCAGAGGTGTTTTCTGGAGATTTCCAGATATTTGCACTTACTTGTAGGGTGTTTATGTACCATGTAGCAGTGAATAGAAGATGTTTGTCTCCTCTGGTGTTCAGGTTCAGGTTTGGACGAGCTCATCACGGCCGAGGAGAAAGAAAAACTCTACACTGCAATCGGCTACAGCGGCAGCTCTCACAACCTGGCTTTACCCAAACAGGTAAACTCACCTGCAGCTTTCATGTTCATAGTCTTTGGTAGCCTCGTGACTTTTCCTCTTGCGCCACCACCAGGACAAACTTTCTATTTTTGCACAGGAAATGTTCCCAATCTCCATCCTGCCCCTCAGAAGATGAACCCCGTTAGATTTAAACGAATCCTTTAGCGCCACCATCAGGACAGATAAACCATCAGGACGTGTTCTGTCCTTGAGATGATTTAACGTGGTTCAGTTTCCTGGTTCAAATAAAACCAGGACTTGGTGACAAGAGTTGAGCCAAGTTAAATTTTGTGTGTGTGTGTGTGTGTGTGTGTGTGTGTGTGTGTGTGTGTGTGTGTGTGTGTGTGTGTGTGTGTGTGTGTGTGTGTGTGTGTGTGTGTGTGTGTGTGTGTGTGTGTGTGTGTGTGTGTGTTCAGTATGTCGCCGTGGTCGTCACCTTCCAGCTGTTCAGGACCTCAGTGACGGTCCGAGAGCTGCCAGACATCCCAGAGATCCTCAAAGTCCAGATGATTGACCTCAGCACCAAAATCTCTCAGAGACCTGGAGCTCAGGCCTTAAGGTGAGGACCCTGTAACCAGAACTCACAGGTTGGAACCCCGTGTAGTGGCTCTGACAATGATGCTGTGAACAACATGTGTTAATACCTAAAGCTGTGTGTCCTCCTGCAGGGTGGAGGTAGCGCTGGAGCACTGGTATGTTACAGGTTTACAGCAGCAGGGGGCGGTACCTTCGCTCATTGCCTCAGTAGGAGACTCCTCGTCCTCTCTGCTCAGCGTGGCGTTTGAGGTAAACCCACAGGAGAGCGCCGCCGACCAGCTGCTCAGAGTCCACTCTCAGCCTGTGGAGATCATCTACGACGCGGTAAACACGAGCCACGATCGGACCTCAGATCACACCTCTCACGTCTGATTTTCATGGGTTCTATTCCTCAAAAACTGTTCTAGATTCACCTTTAGAACATGTATTATTATTATTATTATATCATAAGTGCAGCAGGTTAGAAACAGCGCGTAGGATCCAAACTGAAAGTGTACGTGTACCCAAAAACCTGAAAGTGGTGGATTTCTGAAAGCGTGCATGCGCACCCCTGCACATATCTTTCCCTTTATAATGGTGATGGTGAGACAGGCTGATGAAATACTGGTCCATAGTAAGATTTGTTTGGCTTATATATTTTCATATTGGCTCACTACAAGGAGGCAGCCGATAACACCGCTGGTTTAAATGAGAACGTGGTCTGTGATGAAGCTTTGATCGAAGTGAAAATAAATGTGTGAGGCACCGTTCAGCTATGATACTCTTGACAGCCTCCCGAAGTCAATTACCCTTACCCTAACCCTCACAGGGTGTGTGCCTAAACCTAAGTTATTGATTATATGCTTGTCGACCGGTTAACCCTACAGCTGCACACAGTGGCCTCACGGCCGACGTGCTAGCAGACAGGGTAAACCTCCTTCTTGTGGCTGTGCATTACCACCACCACTCCATTAGATGGCGCTGTCACAGAAGAACTACGGTCCTAGAACTGCAGGTCCTGAAACAGCCTCTGGTACTGCAGCTATATAATACTGCTGTTGGGGGCCTACGCAGCAGCTCTAAATGAAGCCGCTGGTGTTTGTCTTCTAGCTGACGGTGAACAGTCTGGCCGACTTCTTTAAGACGGGGAAAGGTTTGGATCTGGAGGTCCTGACCTCGGCCACGCTCTCCAAACTGGAGGAGATCAAAGAGAAAACCGCTACAGGTCAGTGTAATGAGGATGTATGAAATATACGGTCATAGAGGTTTCTGCAGGTTCCAGGTCTTCAACGCCTCGAGCCCAGCTACATCTGAGTCTGGTGAAGGTTTGGAGCTGAGCCGCACAAGCCGAGTCTGAGATGGAGGTCCAAGTCTGAATCCAGTCTGGAATCTGTTTATCCAATCAGAATCCTTCAAACTTTTACTCCTCACTGTTCACCAGATACTTGATCTGAACACTGATTCCCACCACGAAGTTGATCAGTCTGTCGATTCTTTTCTAACTGACTGATTGATTGTCTGACCAGAGAAAGCAGGACATCGTCACCAGCGAGAAGCTGTTTGACTGTTTTACTTGAAAAATAATTCAATAGTGGGAAATTCGGGTTCTCAGAAAGACTCTGATGGTTTCTGGTCTCTTCAGGCTTGTCTCACATTATTGAAACCAGGAAGGTCCTGGACCTGAGGATCGATCTGAAGCCATCCTACCTGCTGGTACCAAAGTCCGGTTTCTACAGCGAAACGTCAGACCTCATCATCATAGACTTCGGCAGCTTACAAGTCAGTTCTAAAGTTTATTTTTCACTCCTGTGAAACCTCAGTTTTAAATTCATGGCTTTTGTTTCTTTAAATATTTGTGAGCCAGCTATCAAACATTCCAGTTTCCAAAATGTCATCATTGTTATTAAGGAATGTACACTTTCCTGCTGCTCAGAGGATGGGCTTTAGGCTAAATCTTCAGGTTTGTACCTGAACTTTGTAGCAGGTGTTTCCCAGATTGTTTTAGTCTTATCCATACTTTTGGATTGTCGGTAACCTCTGAGACACAGGTTGGTGTTCTGTCCAGATGTTGGTCCGAGCTCAGGCACAGCTGTGTGGTTGAAATCTGTGTGTTTGTAGTTGAACAGTGTTGAGCAGAGCGGTCTCAGTTCGTCTCCGTCCTCCTTCTCCTCTTTGGAGGAAATCATGGATCGAGCCTATGAGAGATACAACGTGGAGCTACGACGAGTCCAGGTGCTCTACAGCAAGTCAGGTACACAAGAAATACCCACACGTACAACTACACAACAACTACACAACCACCTGGAAGTCCATATTTTATTTATTTAATTCTAAATGAATTCCAGGTGAGGCCTGGAAGTCAGCCCGGCTGCAGGGTTCATCAGTCCAACACATCCTCCAGCCAATGGACTTCACTGTCCAGCTGGCCAAGTGTATGGTGGAGAAGGACGCCAGGATGCCCGGGTATGCTGCTCACCTGTGGACAGTGTGTCTGCTGACTCGCATGTACATGCTATGTGAGTAACTTTGGGGTGTTTGTGCTTCAGGTTAAAGGTGTCTGGGGAGCTGCCGCTACTGCATGTTAAGATCTCAGACCAGAAGATAAAGAACGTTCTTGAACTGGTGGACAGCATCCCGCTGCCCAGCAGGGGCTCCACCCCCTCCACCCCCACAGAGAAGGTACACTTGCTAAGGTCTAATGGAACTGTAGCCACGCCCACTAAAATGAACTCACCATTCAGGAAATGAAACCGCCTGTGAGAGTCACTTTAGGGAGTGACAAAGTGTGTGGTGGGGGAAGTCGGCGGTATTGTCAGGTGTGTTTAGGGTTGTGATCGGGGAGGTTTGGGGAGTGACAGGGAGGTGATGGTTGGACTGCAGCTCAGTGTTGATGTCACCACTTTTGGGCGTGTTTACTGCCACAGGTGCTCTCGTTGGCGGAGGCCCGACCACGAGCGCTGAGCCTTCACCCCTCCCTCCTCAACACCATGGAAACAGGTCTGTGTGCACGCCCTCCGATCGGCTGTTTAACATTAACACATTTTTATCACCAAGTTATAATTTATGTTTGTGCTTTTGCGTTTCAGATTCGGATGAAGACACCAGTGAGAAGTCAACGGACGAGGATCACCAGCGCTCGGCTCTGGAGGAGCTCACGGACCTTCACTTCAAGTTTGAAATCAAAGAGGTGTGTTTGTTGGTCTGGCCTCAGGTCATAGGTGACTCAGAGGGGCTGAGCTTAGCTTTAGCAAAAAGTATCATTTTAGTCCATGTGAGCCAGAGGTGTGTGGTGTGTTCAGGTGCTGTTGGAGCTAACCCGGCAGGTGGACCAGGAGAAGACCATCCTGTCCTTAAGCGTCTGTGAGCTGGGAGCTGAAGGGAAGAGTCGGAGCTTCGACCTGAGGGTCTCCTCATACCTGCGCAGAGTCACCCTGGACTACTGCGACGTACCAGGTGAGATATGGACATAATGTCCAAAATCATAATTTTAACTTCCAACTAATGATCTACTCCTTCAAACCAAGAATAAACAGACCATCAGATCAGTTATTTGTTAGTGTGATTCAAGTTCTTGTATTTTTACCAGCGTGGCCGTCACCTTGTGAGTGTCACCATGGCATGGTCCTGGGGACACGTACTGTAGCGGGAAGTACAGCAGAAGCGGTTTGTCAGGTGTTTACATGTCTGTCTGTGGACACATTTTGTCAACGTGATCACAAAAAGTTTCATTGCATACAGTCAGATTTGGCACCGTGGCTGGTGTGATCCCATCCGTCAACAGTATAAAAGAGGTGGGCGTAGCCACTGTGATGTCACCCGTTGGTTTGTGGACTATTGTTTGAAGCTTCAAGTTTGGCGTTTTGGCCGTCGCCATCTTGGCTTTTAGAACCAGATGTGACTATATTTGGACAGGAGGGTGGAGCTAAGGAGGGATACGCATTGCTATGCCTAACAGGTCGCCATGGTAGTGACCTGTCAATCAGCTTGTAGCCCCGCCCTAAAGCCTCCCCTGCTTCCTGGTCTCTGTTCCTCTAAATGGGACCATAATTTACTAAATGAACATCATGCTGTGTTGAAGAAGACTTGAAACTAGCGGCTGAGACCAGAAACTCATCAGGAAAGTGTTTACTGAGGGAATAAATCAGCTGAGAAGCAGCAACATTATCTCATAGACTTCTATACAATCACACTTCTTTCTGCAGCCGCTGGAGTCGCCCCTGCTGGCTGCTAGAGAGAACGCAGGTTTAAGAAAGAAAGAAACGTTCAGGTAGAGAACAGCTGTAATCCTGCAGAACCATGAACAGAACTAAACTGACTAAAAGACCTACCTGCTCAGGTGTAGTTTCTGTTGTGATGTGTGCTTCTTCTCCAGACGGCAGGAATCATCCTCTCCACCTGATCAGCTCCTCAGAGCAGCAGGGCTCCAACTTGCTGAAGGTGGATTTCATGAAGGTGAGCGCGCACACACACACACACACACACACACACACACACACACACACACACTCACCTGTTCTTCTGTTGAGAGGCTGCAGCCCAGGTGGATCAGTGTGAAGCTACAGAGGAAACAAACTGAATGTGAAGTCTCCTGGTGTCCCAACTGTGTTAGGGACCAGAGACTTTTTAAAACAGACTGAAAGATAGATTCTCAGGGGATAAATGTTTGTGTCTGTGTATATATCTTTATGTCCATCCAAAATGGGGAAGTTGAACAAGTGATACTGTAACACTGTAATGATGCAACGCTGCTGATATCTCTGAAAGACAGAACCAGACATCAAAAACACACACAAAATACTGATTCCTGTTTTTGTGTGTCGTCCGGCAGGCTGACCCCAGCGGCCCCAGCTTCCAGACTCTGTTCAACAACACGGAGCAAACACTGAAGGTGGGTGGAGGTTTTCAGCAACAGATGGCGGAGGAAGGGATTTAAACATAGTTTCTGTTCCTCTCAGGTTAATGCAGCTGACACAGGTGAACTCCTGAGCTGGATCTTGATTCACATCCTTCCGTTAGTACAATAACATGCAGTACACTGCGTACTCTGTACTTATTTGCGTAGTATGTCGAACACGGCTGTTGTGACGTTCACAAAAGGTTGACTGCTTTCTTCCCTTCTGGCGTTTTGTTTACTTCACTTCAATTCAAAATGTATAAAAATGAATAAAATTTAGTGAACTTTTCCTTCTACAACCGTTAACGCTGCAGCTTCCTCGACAAGTTTAAAAAACTTTGGTCCCTCCTCTTCCTCCACGTAGCCAAGATGGCAGCCTTTAAGGGTAAGAAATGTCCAGTGTTCCTTAAGAGTACACCAAGCAAGGACGCCAAACTGCAGGTGTAAGTTGAAGAAGAAGATTAAGACACAGGCTCTCGGAAATGTGTCGTCAGGATAGATTTCCTACCAGCAGATTATTTAGCTCCTTCGCTGCCTCTAAATTTGGCCATAAATAAAAGGAAATACAATCTCAGGTTCGCGTCTCACTGCAGCTGTTCACGCTGAAACTTCTTGAAGCAGGTTGGAATGATGTTTGATCTCACAGCTGTTTACCTGCTGGTGTTTCAGGTGGAGTTCACCTCTCTGGACTTCCTGCTTCACACCAAAGCTCTGCTGTCAACCATCAACTTCCTGAACAGCGCCGTGCCGCCGCAATTCACCGCCGCTCGAGACCAAGACGCCCAAAAAAAGGTGGAGAAGACCGGAGCGGGCCGGACAGGTGAGTCCAGACTGTTCACGGTGTGTCACTATGTCCTGTCTAAGGTTCTGTATGTGACAGGAAGTGGGTTCTGCGCTCTCTGCAGTGTCTAAAGGAAGCAAAGATGGCGGCGTTTTCAGCTTCAAGCTGTTTGCAGTGTTGGGTTGTTTCCACGTGGAGGTGTGTGACGATCGCTGCAGCATCGCTGATATCAGAGTCCAAGGTAGGAAAACATGCTTTGACCGAGCTTTACCGTGAAGGCTGACGCCTTTAAGAGCTCATTACATCATCCCCTGTCTCCTGACTGTCGCCACCCTGCAGGAATCGATGCGTCGGTGTTGGTGCAGGCGAAGGAGACGGAGGTGTTCGCTCGACTCCGAGACATCTTGGTCACAGACGTCAGCCCCAAAACTGTCCACAGAAAGGTCGGAACCAGTTTCGTTATTCTGATGATTATTACTAAAGCGCTGATGTTTAGTTTCCCGGGTGAGTTTGGTACAAGCTGTCACTTTTACCATCTGGAGCACTTTACTGTATTTTCTTTTGTTAGATGAAAAGAAACTAACGAGCTGATAAATGACCTGCTTTTTACAAACAAAAGAACCAGACGCGGCAGATGAAAAGCAGATATGATGATGATGTAAACCTGATCTTATTGGCTGCAGCAGAATGTGATCTGATGGTGAAAACAAAACCGTGAGATGCTAACGTCATGCTACGACACTAAACTTCCCTGAATGACCGAAACCAGGATGTGACTTTCAGGGCAGGCTCGGGTGCAGCTGTGGTTACACTGGGAAAACGAGCTGTCCTCCGGGGTCCAGGCGGGCTGGTTGAATAAAATATATCTGTCTACTCTAACTTCAGCCAGCAGAATTACGTTGGCCAGATGCACCAAAAAACAAGAGCTGTAAGCTATAATAAAAATACAGTGAGACGACTGTTTAATGCTGAGGCGCTGATTCTAGTCTTGTCTGGCAAGTCTCCAAATAGGTTAATTGTGATTACCACACTTTAGTAGTACCAGGTTAAGTATTAGTATCAGGAGTAGCAGTACTCATTTTAACTGAGCGAGTGAAAGAAGTAGCAGCTGTGGTTTGGATGAAAGTTTCCATGAGCTCTGTGAGATGATGCTGACCTGCCTCCCCCTTCCTTCCTTCCTTCCCCCCTGCAGGCGGTGTCCATCATGGGTGAGGAGGTGTTCAGCTTCAAACTCTCCTTGTTTCCGGGGGCAACGGAGGGGGAGGGTTACAGCGACACGACAAAGGTGGACGGGAAGGTCACGATGCGTCTGGGCTGCATCCAGATCATCTACCTGCACAAGTTCCTCATGTCGCTGCTGGTCAGAGATTTTATATACATATATACATATGTACACATACATGTACAAATACATGGTCACATACATGTTCACATACATGTTCACATACATGTTCACATACATGAACACATACATGAACACATACATGAACACAAACATGTTCACATACATGTTCACATACATGAACACATACATGAACACATACATGAACACAAACATGAACACATACATGAACACAAACATGAACACAAACATGTTCACATACATGTTCACATACATGAACACATACATGAACACAAACATGTTCACATACATGTTCACATACATGTTCACATACATGAACACATACATGAACACATACATGAACACATACATGTTCACATACATGTTCACATACATGTTCACATACATGTACATATACATGAACACATACATGTTCACATACATGAACACAAACATGTACATATACATGAACACATACATGTTCACATACATGAACACAAACATGTACATATACATGAACACATACATGAACACAAACATGAACACAAACACGTTCACATACATGAACACAAACATGTTCACATACATGAACACATACATGTTCACATACATGAACACATACATGTACATATACATGTTCACATACATGTTCACATACATGAACACAAACATGTTCACATACATGAACACATACATGTTCACATACATGAACACATACATGTACATATACATGTTCACATACATGTTCACATACATGAACACAAACATGTACATATACATGAACACATACATGAACACAAACATGAACACAAACATGTTCACATACATGAACACAAACATGTTCACATACATGAACACATACATGTTCACATACATGAACACATACATGAACACATACATGAACACATACATGTTCACATACATGTTCACATACATGTTCACATACATGAACACATACATGAACACATACATGAACACATACATGAACACATACATGAACACAAACATGTTCACAAACATGTTCACATACATGAACACATACATGAACACATACATGTTCACATACATGTACACAAACATGAACACATACATGAACACATACATGTTCACATACATGTTCACATACATGAACACAAACGTGTAAACATACATGAACATAAACACGAACACATATATATGCACATTTGTTGTGGTGTGACAGTTTTAAATAATATTGTGATAGTAATTGTAGTTCTCATTCTTGGTGGACGACCTGTTACTCTGTGCATGTTTAACCCAACATCACATGCTGTGGTCTTGAGTTTGAAAAGCAGGAGATCTACGGCACATCTTAATGGCACTCACACATAATGTTCCACTTGCAACGTCAGTCACCACATTCAATAAATGTTTCAGAACATGAAATATATACAGGACTGTCCAATCGTTTTAGGCAGGTGTGAAATGCTGTCAAAAACAGACAATCACACCCCCGACGATGTCCCTATAACATCCATGACTTTGTGCAGGTGTACCTAGAAGAACTGATGCTGTTTGAAGGGGGGTCACAGCAGATACTGGTTTTAGATTTAGATTACAAATGAATGTAAAATAAGTACAGCGGTGACCTGGTGTGCTAATCAAGTGGACCCAACGTTAAAATATCGGACACTACAGAGCCACCACCGAGCACACTTTAACTAATATACTCAAATCCACATAAACACCTTTTACGTGTAAATGTCACACGGCTGTGTATTTTATTTCTGTTTGTTCTGACTGTATCATATTCGTGTTCGTCTGATCATTTCAACATGAAGTCACTACACTGACTGCAAAAACACCAGCTTTAATGGCCTTCAGCTCAAATAACAGCTTAGGGTTGGAAATCCCACAATGCAGTGCTTCACATTTGATTTGTATAGACGCATACCCGTTGATGTCACTTCACCTTCCGGAACACACTGGACTGAGTGGCAGAACATCTGTTACCATGGCTGCGTTTAGCAAACCGGGAGTAAAACAAGTGATTATTTGCTCAAATTAAAGGCGGTCGGACTCAACAGTGATCCGTATTGTTTGCCAAAGAACCAGTGGTGCAGCTCTTTCCCATTTTAGATGTGTTGTCTGTATTTTAGCTGATTCAAGCTAACACAGCTGCTGCTGCTTGTCTTTCTGCCACTCAGTGAGCGTAACTGCGTTCTGTGACATCATGCGCACACCCGCTATACCAGACCAGCTTCAGGGCTCCTGGACTCTGCTGGACCTTTAATTTACCAGCTGGTCTGAGAACAGAGAAGTGATTAACGAGGTCCAGTAAGATCAGCTGATTCCAGAGCAGACGTGTTTCAGCCGTAAGCCTCGACTCGAACTGATGATCAGACCACAGACACAGATCTGAGTAAACTTAAAATTAGGGCTCTAAAATATTAGAAGCTGTGAAAAACAGTGTGTTCAGGGACAGGGAGGGAAAGCTCCTTGTTATTAAAATGACTGTACCAACTGAACGCTGTGTTTGCTGTTTCCTGTCGCATGTTCTTCTCTACAGTTTCTGGTCTCTCATGTTTCTGGTCTTGTTGATGTGTTTTGTTCTTTCAGGCTTCTTTTAGCTTTCAGTATGCGTCTGCCGATGAGGTACAGCTCCCAGCATGCAGCTCTGCCCTGCATCAAACCTTCTGCTTTAGCTTCACTCAGCGACTGCACTGCACCTTCAGTCCACCTTAAATATCATCTGGTTTAAGGTTTCCAGTAGGCCACGCTCCCTGTAAAGGTTTAAGCCTCGTTCTCGACTCCCCATCTTGTTTGTTTTTCCTGCCTTTTCGACAAGTTCCGCCCTACCGTGCTGTGATTGGCTAGTACTCGTCACTTGTGGTTGGATGCTAGCAAAGGATACAAGCAAGTCCAAATGCAAGCGATGGTACAGAGCGGTGCTAACAAAACCAGCAGAGCACAGCACCTGCAGGGCCGACCCGCCGACCTCTATAAAGAACCTGGAGGGGCTGGAGACTTTCAACATCCGTGAAATATTAAACCAGACGGCCCAGAAAACTGTAGTTGATAAGCCAGCTGTCCTGTTGTTGGCCCAACAGACATGTTGAATTCTCAAAGCTAAGCTAACCCCCTCAGAGCTGTCAGACCTGAGGAACATCAGACAGTTTCAGATAGGAAAACACTAAGACTAAAGTCAGAAGGAAGGTAACTGATGCTGTTCTGCTGAACACACAGTAACTTTTGGTGTGAGGGAGGGCTCGATTCGATGTAATGAATACTGATGTTTTAGAAATTTCCGTAGACAGTACGGAGGTAAACGCACTGCGGCCGACTCATCACGTTGAGCTTCATGGTTTGCTGTTTGAAGCGTTAGATGGTAACGCAGCAACACGTTATCAGAGCTCACTTCCTCCATAAGTGCTATGCAACTCACTCAGCCGCCATTATCATTTACCCCCTCACTCCCCCGTCAGTCATGTGACCTCTGTCAGTCATGTGACCTCTGCCTGTACGACCTCACTTCCCTTCCTGAAAATGGTTCATGTTTGTTTCAGAAACTTCAAACTTTATTCTAAACCTTTGAACCTGTAATCATTACTAATCAGTCCTTACATTTATTTACAGTAAATGCCGAAACGTATTTGTGAAGTAAAGCAGATGAACGACTTGGTGTTGTGATTCTGAGGTTCATATTATTCAACTGAAGGTTTCTGAAACAGAAATGACTGTACACTCTGTCCAGGCAGTGAACGCCTCACATCGTCTCCCTCCTTCATGGCGTCTTGATCATGTGACGCTGCGTTGTTTGTCGACTCACTCCAGATTTATTTTGTTCTCCAGATGTTCATCGATAACTTCCAGACGGCTAAAGAAGCTCTGAGCGCCGCCACAGCTCAGGCGGCGGAGAAGGCGGCGTCCAGAGTTCGGGGCTTCGCCCAGAAGAGTTTCCGTCTGTCCATGGACATCAAGCTGAAGGCACCGCTCATCATCATCCCGCAGTCCTCCACCTCCCATAATGCCGTGGTGGCGGATCTGGGTCTGATCACGGTGGGGAACAGCTTCTCCCTGCTGCCGGCTGAAGGCTTCTGTCTGCCGGCGGTGGTGGAGAAGATGGACATCAAGCTGACTCAGCTGAAACTCTCCAGGTATCAAAGCTCTGAGGATCAGTAGACTCGGTCTCAGTGAGCAGGGATGTTCTGAAACCGTTTTTTGATCGGGTCAATTAGCATCCGTGAGCTCTAAACGAGGAAAATCAAAGGATCATGAAAAGATGTAGTTCAGGCGTCCTGAAGGCCCAGTCACACCAGCACTTTCACCGATTCACTCACAGCACAACAAATCTCTGGTGAACCAATAACAAGCCGAGAGCTGAGCTCTGAGAGCCGCTCACCCCTACAGCTTCACTGCTGTCGGGGTGATTATTCACATATATAAAGCTGATCATCTGGGCCACGAGGCCTACTGGATCTCACAGCTCTATCACACAACGCAACTGCAGAAGGGTTTGGAGGTCGAGGACAGGAGCAGTAGACCCTCCCCAGGCCGAACCCCAAAATCCAGCCCGTCAGAAAGACCTCTCCGGACGACCTTAACTAGTAGTGGTGGGAATCACCAGAGGCCCCACGATACAATATTATCACAATACTTATGTCACGATACGATATTATCACTATACTTATGTCACGATACGATATTATCACAATACTTATGTCACGATACGATATTATTGCAATTTTAAACATATTGCAATTTATTGCAATATTTTATCTTTTTCCCAACTTCAAATTGTGTCCCCAAAGGAAAATTCTTTTTCTAGTGGACTGAAAAAGCAATTTTATTTAAACAAACTTCTCATGTACAATTTATATAATAAAAGATCGATACTTGACGTTCGTGTTATGATACGATATTGCCTTGCAAAATATTGCGATACTATGCTGTATCGATTTTTTTTTTTCCCCCACCCGTACTCTCTAGCTACAGCAGTTCACCAGCTAGCCCTGTGAATGGTCAGTACGTTATTAAGCCACATTTTGCCTTAAGACAGAGAGAGGAACATTGTATACAAAGCCTGTATTTAGTCGGGCAGATTAGTTTACATGTACCGTAGAGTCTTCATCAGGGCAGGCTTAGGGTTAGGATCACCTCCGGTACTCTATAAACACAAGGCACCAGAAAAACCCAGTCATTGGAGGGAGAGAGTGAAGTGGCTGTTTCTGTTTCGGTGTCTGAGCGTCCTTGAACACACCAACAGGAAGCGTTTTCACAACATCCGAGCTGCACTGAAACATGCAGATGACCAAACACAGAAACAGAAAGCTGAGTAAATTCTGGATACTTGTGTTTTTAGAACCACGCTGAAACAAGACTCCTCTCAGCCTGACTTTGAGATCCTCCAGCCAATCAACTTACAGCTGCTCGTCACCAGGAACCTGGCTGCTTCCTGGTTCACCAAGTTTCCTGGAGTCCAGGTCCAGGGGGTCCTGCGGTCCCTCAACGTAGGTCTTGCGTGTTTGTTGTTGTTTAAACTGTGATGGATCAGTTCTTCAGAAAAAGACGTGAAACGGTGTCGTGTGTTTGTCAGATGAGTCTGGGCGAGGAAGACCTCGGGGTGCTGATGATGGTCCTGGTGGAGAACATCGGGGAGGGGAGTAAAGAGCACAGCATGGATGTCAAAAGACAGGTGGCTCAAGGTAACTTTACTCTCAGTGCATGATGGGAAATCTACCTGTCCTACATCAACACGATAATCACTGTTTGGTTCAGTGTGCAGCCTAACCTGATTAGTCAGACACTGAATGAAGCTCTGGAGACGGTGGAATGTGTTTGTTAATGACCTCATTTCCTCCTCAGAGAAGGCGGAGCTTGCTCAGCAGCCGGTGGAGATGGTATCGTTACAGACGGGATCAGCTTTGGCCGCCACCACCACCATGAGCCTGACTGAAAACACCGTCAACGTTCTCCTCAATTTTGAAATCAAAGAGGTAAAAATCTTTAAATGCTGTGACGAGCTGGATTCAGGTTTTTCTCTGCAAACCGAGACAATATAGAAAAGACGTCTTCCTCCTGTCAGTCGAAGTTCGGACCGGACAAAGCTGTCCCCCTCCCATCACCTTGAGTCTGACATCAGAAATCCTAAAAATAAAACAAACTGATATTGTAGCTTCTGGTCCGATCAGGAACAGCTCACCTGATATTGTAGCTGCCGGTCCGGTCCGATCAGGAACAGCTCACCTGATATTGTAGCTGTCGGTCCGGTCCGATCAGGAACAGCTCACCTGATATTGTAGCTGCCGGTCCGGTTCGATCAGGAACAGCTCACCTGATATTGTAGCTGCCGGTCCGGTCCGATCAGGAACAGCTCACCTGATATTGTAGCTGTCGGTCCGGTCCGATCAGGAACAGCTCACCTGATATTGTAGCTGCCGGTCCGGTCCGATCAGGAACAGCTCACCTGATATTGTAGCTGTCGGTCCGGTCCGATCAGGAACAGCTCACCTGATATTGTAGCTGTCGGTCCGGTCCGATCAGGAACAGCTCACCTGATATTGTAGCTGCCGGTCCGGTCCGATCAGAAACCATTCATCCCCATCGACTCTCTGATTGTTCCTCCAACATGGCGGCGCTCTGCCGACCTTATTTTACATGTTCTGTTTCCTGTTTCCTCTTGAAGGTGCTGCTGACCCTAAAGAAGCCCAGAGAGCAGAAGGAGTCACCTTTCCTGGTCTTTCATGTCGCTCACCTGGGCATCAACACCGAAGTCAGGAAGTACGACATGTGTGCCACGACGTACATCAACAAGATCACCATGAAGTGCCTGGAGTTCGAAGGTCAGAGCCTCTCAGCGGGTTCAGTAATACTCGTCCTCTGTCAATGTTCCTGTGGGGTATAAAACTGCCCCTTCTGTGGTGTCCCAGCTACTTCCTGTTTGGACAGGAAGCTGCAGGTGTACATGTCATCAAACATAAACGTATAGCAGTATGATGATGTGATGTTTGTCTTGTTTCAGACTCCAGCGGCGAGCCGTTGTGTCTCATCAGCTCCTCGGTAGAGTCTGGAGCTGAACTGCTCAAAGTGCAGTATTTCAAGGTGATGACATCAGCAATGATCTGATTACCTGTTGAGATGCACAGGTGTGCTGTCATCGCCCAGAGCAGGAGATGATTCAGTGTTTTCAATCAACTTCAACTTCCTGTTTGTTTGACCGTTTTCTCAGGCCGACCGCTCGGGGCCGAACTTCTGCACAGTGCACAAGAACACGGAACAGATGATCAACGTGAGTCTGTACGCACACGCACACTGACACACTCACACTCAGTTAATGTTAGAGTGGGAAATAAAACTCTTTGGCTCCACCTGGTGGTGGGATGAGCGATGGCAGTGCAGCCGAGTGATTTATTTTAATGGTCTGGACAACATTTTCCAAGAAGTGCCTTTGAAAGCACTCTGTAAGTTAGTCCTGCCGACAGGTAGAGCGGGTGGTCACAGGTTCGATCCCCTCTGAACACAGCACCCTGCGTGGTAGCTGACCTGGAGATAACGCCTCTCTCTCTAGGTAACCTTCACCTCTCTGGACCTCATGCTCCACACTGAGGCTCTGCTGTCAGCCATCAACTTTCTGTCGATTGCGCTGTCGTCCAGCAGCGTGACGTCTCCAGAGAAGGAGATCAGACCGAGGACAGAGGACAAGACGGTCTCCACCAAGTCCAGTCAGTACAGCATTCCCTCATGATGTAGTGAAAACAGACTCAGCATGGCGGACCGGCTTTAATGTGTTGTGTTGTTTCCTGCCAGCTGCCCTGGTGTCACCGGCAGACAGCGAGGTCATCGACCTGAAGGTGACGATGACGCTGGGAGCCTTCAACGTCCTGGTCTGCGACCAAAGCTGCAACATGGCTGACATCAAGATCCAAGGTACTGAATCGTGAGTTTTTGTCTGCTGTCCATTGGTCAGCACCAACCCTAACCGTTTGATGTGTCCTGCAGGTCTTAATGGCTCTCTGCTGGTGCAAGGACCACAAACTGACATATCGGCCCGCTTGAGAGACTTCATCGTCCTCAACGTTGATCCCAGAAGCATCCACAAGAAGGTATTAAAGCACCATATGAGAGAGTTTTTGAAGCCCAGATGACGTATGAATAAAACAAACAACCACGGACGACTCTAGACTTTCCCAGACTAACCTGAACCTGTTTCCTTGGACCACCCTGGAGTGCCCCAGACTCTTGTAGACTACCCTGTGCTGCCACAGATGACACTAAAATCCCCACTAAAGTACCCTGAGGATACTACCTGGGAGTACTCAGATCAGCCTAGACCACCCCTGAACAGAATCATTCCCCTCAGACTACCATGAACAACCACACACCACCCTGGGTCCAAGACTACATTACACTACTTTAGACTACTGTTGACATACTCAGACTACCATGGACTGCCAAGGACTATTTACTACCATGGGCTGATACTTCAGTACCAAGTCAATACCAAAACTCTGAAGACATGACAGTACACGTTTTTCTAGGTACTGAATGTCCTGTTATTGAAGGACTACCACAGACTTCACTGGACTCCAGTACTACATTATAATACCTCATACTTCCTTTGGCATACTCAGAGTATGCTGGACTCGTCTAAATTGTCCCGGTCTACAACAGACGGACCTGGATTGTCTATACTGCTGTCGTTGAACTCTTCTGTCCTTCAGGCCATCTCCATCGTGGGTGATGAGGTGTTCAGCTTCACCATGAGTCTGACGCCCAACGCCACAGAGGGCGCCGGCTACGCCGACACCTCCAAAACCGACGGCAGGGTGAAGCTGAACGTGGGCTGCATCCAGGTGGTTTACCTGCACAAGTTCATCGTGTCTCTGCTGGTGAGTTTGAGATTTTTAATAAGAAGCAGGTAGTTGGAACCTGGGAGAGTTTCACAGGCTTGGATTATAGCAGAGATACAGACAGGAAATATGGTGCCGCAGCTGGGAATCGAACCGAGGACATTGAGTTTATATGTTTATGCTCCCTGATCATCTCTGAAGCATCATAGTTTGTAAAACAGGTGAAATCTGTTTTTTTATAATTAGTATTATTTCAGTTTTTGGTGAATAAAGACATTTTAATGCAGTTTTTTTAGGTTTAAATTTAGTTCATAACGGTTTTCATTGTTTACGTCTTTTCGTTCAGAACTTCGCCAACAACTTCCAGATGGCTAAAGAAGCTCTGAGCGCCGCCACAGCTCAGGCGGCGGAGAAGGCGGCGTCCAGCGTTCGAGACTTTGCGCAGAAGAGTTTCCGTCTGGCCATGGACATCAAGCTGAAGGCTCCGCTCATCGTCATCCCCCAGTCCTCCACCTCCCATGATGCACTTGTGATGGACCTGGGTCTGATCACGGTGGGAAACAGCTTCTCTCTGCTACCCGTCGATGGATGCCCGCTGCCGGCCGTCATCGACAACATGGACGTCCAGTTGACGCAACTCAAACTCTCCAGGTCAGTTAGTCCTGTTCAGATTTGAGATCTGCACCAGAACCACAGAAAATCACATGAAACCAAAGACTTTAGGGTTTAGTCTGGACTACAGATCATGTTCCTCCAGTCCCTTCTTTACTGCAACCCGGGACGAGCTCAGAAACTCTGAACCATTCCAACTTTTACTATGACTGTCCCCCTTGTCCCCTGATCCTGGTCCATGTGTAATCTTGCTCAGTGAACATGTAAACTCTGTTGTCTATCAGGACCCTTATGGACCCGGCGACGTGTCGACCCTGCAGTGAGCTTCTGGAACCGGTAAACCTGAACCTGAACATTAAGAGGAACCTGGCTGCTTCCTGGTACAAGAAGATGGTCGCTGTGGAGGTCGATGGACATCTGAAGCCCATGAAGGTGAGGGGGGAGTGTTGATGGGCTGGAAGGCCAGGAAAACCAGGGGGCCCAGACTGATGGTGGTTTTAAGAAACCTGGAGGCCCAAGCTGATGGTGGTTTTAAGAGACCTGGAGGCCCAGGCTGATGGTGGTTATAAGAAACCAGGAGGCCCAGGCTGAGGGTGGTTATAAGAAACCTGGAGGCCCAGGCTGAGGGTGGTTATAAGAAACCTGGAGGCCCAGGCTGAGGGTGGTTATAAGAAACCAGGAGGCCCAGGCTGAGGGTGGTTATAAGAAACCAGGAGGCCCAGGCTGAGGGTGGTTATAAGAAACCAGGAGGCCCAGGCTGATGGTGGTTTTAAGAAACCTGGAGGCCCAGGCTGATGGTGGTTTTAAGAAACCTGGAGGCCCAGGCTGATGGTGGTTTTAAGAAACCTGGAGGGCCCAGGCTGATGGTGGTTTTAAGAAACCTGGAGGCCCAGGCTGATGGTGGTTATAAGAAACCAGGAGGCCCAGGCTGATGGTGGTTTTAAGAAACCTGGAGGCCCAGGCTGATGGTGGTTATAAGAAACCAGGAGGCCCAGGCTGATGGTGGTTATAAGAAACCAGGAGGCCCAGGCTGATGGTGGTTTTAAGAAACCTGGAGGCCCAGGCTGATGGTGGTTATAAGAAACCAGGAGGCCCAGGCTGATGGTGGTTATAAGAAACCAGGAGGCCCAGGCTGATGGTGGTTATAAGAAACCAGGAGGCCCAGGCTGATGGTGGTTTTAAGAAACCAGGAGGCCCAGGCTGATGGTGGTTATAAGAAACCAGGAGGCCCAGGCTGATGGTGGTTTTAAGAAACCAGGAGGCCCAGGCTGATGGTGGTTTTAAGAAACCAGGAGGCCCAGGCTAACAGCTGACTGGAACGTCTCCTGTAGTCGTGGGTTTCCTGCTGAGGTAGACCTGAATCATAGACCACCTCCACCAGCATCATAAAGACCAACGCCACATATTTAACCTGCTGTCTGAGCTCACTGTCTCCCTGCAGACGGTCTCTAACTCCTCTGCTCTTCTTTTTGCAACCAGTCGACTCGTACATCCCCAAAGGTACGGTTCCCTCTGAGCCTGGTTCTGGAGCAGTGTAGCGTCACTAGTCTCCTCTGTAGTGAAACCTGAAGGCAGCTGGTCTGTAGTGAACCCACACCTGAGAGTCTGTAGACGTCCCCTTCAGGATCAGTGTTGAGGGGCTCCTGGTGTGTCTGATGATCCCTGTAATCCCCCCACCACCACACACACACCCACCCACCCAGTGTCTTTGTTCTGTTTGGGTTGAGGGAGCAGCAGTAACAGTAACCAGGTGTGCTGACAGGTTAACGATGATCCCTCAGTCTGTACTAAGTTCTGTGTCCGTGCCGGGCCTGTAGGTGGAGCTGAGCCAGGACGACCTGACGGTGCTGCTCAGGATCCTGATGGAGAATCTGGGAGAGGCTGGTGGTCTGGAGCCTCCCGCCCCGAGACAGGAGGCCAGCGTGCAGCTCCGGGCGGCCGGAGGCCCCCTGCAGGTCTGCCAGGACCGATCCATGTCCACAGATGTTCAAGTATGTAGAAGCTCCTTCTGTGTCTCAGCTGCTGATGTGGTCTGTGTTTGAGTTCAGGGGATGCTGGGAAGCCCGCTGGAAGCAGTGACGAAGAGGAGGACGAAGCTGTGGAGACCATGAAGTTTAACTTCACCATCGAGTCTCTTGGTCTGATTCTGTACAGCAATGACCCAAAACAGGTCAGTCAGTACAGCTGCTGGAAGACCAGCTCTTTAATGTCTGACCTTCATCCTAAACCATCTCTGCACAATAATCCAGGTATTATTATGTACGCTGATGAGGATTCTTTAATGAGCACTAATAAACCGGGCTGGGGTCATGCGATCAGTTCCTCCCCCTGGAAGAACCACAGTAATTTAAAGGAGCCTGTGATGAGTGCCATTCACAAACCCAGTCAGTATGTAAAGAGATGGCTTTAATAACGTGGTTAAGGACTTTTATACCTGCATTGGAAATTCTTCTTCTGCTTCTGCTTCTGCTTCTTCTGCTTCTTCTGCTGCTTCTTCTGCTTCTTCTTCTTCTGCTGCTTCTTCTTCTGCTTCTGCTTCTGCTTCTGCTTCTTCTTCTTCTGCTTCTGCTTCTTCTGCTTCTTCTGCTTCTGCTTCTGCTCCTTCTTCTGCTTCTTCTTCTTCTGCTTCTTCTTCTTCTTCTTCTGCTTCTGCTTCTGCTTCTTCTGCTTCTTCTGCTTCTGCTTCTTCTGCTTCTGCTCCTTCTTCTGCTTCTTCTGCTTCTTCTGCTTCTTCTTCTTCTTCTGCTTCTTCTTCAAGTGTGCCAGAGCTACATACGTTTATAACCTTGTATTTATTAATTGATGTAATCCCAAAATCCCCTTGGTACCGTCAGTACTCTGGTCCGTCCTGCTTCCGCTGCTGGTCCTCGTTCTTCAGGTCACGAGCGTGAAATCTTTCCCTCCTTACTTCCTGAGATAAATGCCATCACTCTCTCGTACCCGGGTTGGACTGAACCGCCATGCCGGACGTTCGAAGCGTCTGGCCGGCTACGTGTTTGGAGGTCTTTGGGGCTTAGGTGATCTGAATCAGGACCAGCTGGTCCAGGATCAGCACTCTGATTGTTGTTCCTGTTCCTGTCAGCCGTTGGACCTGCAGCACCAGAAGAACCTGAGACTGGGCGAGTTCGCGCTCCACCTGCTGAAGACTTCAGGGAAGATCCTGGCCAACGGCAGCATGGAGGTGTCCACTGTCCTCAGCGCCTGCACGCTGGACGACATGAGGACAGGCATGGACAGGGTGACCTCACGGTGAGTCACATGACCTCTGAGACTTCTTTCAGAGAAGAAGTGATCTGAAGACTTTGAGCAGGCAGATTGAAAAGGACTTTCTCTTCTGCAGCTGAGTGTTTGTTTGGATAGGAAACGGCACCGCTGCAGTAAAAGTCTTTTATTACAGAACAGCTTGTTTTAAACCTCACTTTATTAGAAAACATGTAAAATTGTATTTTGTCTTTACACTAAATTTACATCCATAAATAAATTAGATTTTGGATGCATTTAGAACAAAAACTAGCAGTGGTTTGTAGTGACACCCGTAAATCTGTGGCTGTTATCAATCAGTGTTTATCCTACTGATAATGGTCTCATTCTCAGTGAAGTCCCTGCGTTACGTCCTTAACTTTCCCTGCTGTGTTTCCTGTTTCCTCAGCATGGTGGGGCGGAGAGACGAGGAGAGCTCCGAGGCCATGGTGGAGGTGACGTATCGACAGAGTGCTGCAGAACGGGAGGTGGTGGCTGTCCTGCAGAAACTCTACCTGTGTGCCAGCGTGGAGTTTCTGATGGCCGTCGCAGATTTCTTTCTGCAGGCTCTGCCACAGAGTTCCACTCGGACCACCGCCTCTGCACCGAGCGACAGACTGCCACTGAGACAGACTGCCGAGCCGCGAGCCGACGCCAAGACCGGTTAGACCAAGAGATCCACACTAACACAAGGCCGGGCTGCTTATTTAAAAAAAAAAATGAGCATCAGATTTTAAACATGATAATCACAAATGAATACTGTGGAAAGGGGTTGGGACCCCCTAACTGGATCTAAAGATGAATCTGACAGCTTGTAGATGAGCAACAGTCCTTCTGAACACAGTTTTTTTTGTGGGAATTTGTTTTAATCTTTGCTTTTTGAATTACTGCCTCAAATCCCTCTTTGGTTCAGCTGGTCACAGGTGAAGAAGTAGCAGATTAGATTTTATTCATCAGTAAAGTGAAAGTAAAGACAGACATAAACCCACAGTAGAATGTAGACTGAAACCAGACCACCTGTTGGTCTTCTCTCTGCAGTCTCGATGGTCAGGACTCGTCTTCGGGCGGTGGTGGTGGACCCAGAGGTGGTGTTTGTAGCCAGCCTGATGAAAGCGGACGCCCCCGCTCTCGTGGCCTCATTTCAGTGTGACTTGACCCTGCAGGCCGAGGAGGACGCTACCCAGAACATGAGAGCCAACCTGAGGGAGCTGAAAGTCCTGGCCTGCCCGTTCATCCAAAACAAGAAGGACAAGGCTGTTACCACTGTAAGGTCACATGAACGTGGGGGTCACATGTGGGGTCACAGAAGGTCTTAAGATTTAAAGACCAGTCTTTTTTAATTCTATATTTTTTATCATTACAAACAAACAATGTGTCTGTCATTTTCAAATTTTTTTATTTATCCAGGCAGGTTAGTTAAGAACAAAAGTCCTATTTAGAACTACGGCCTGGCAAGACATCCTCATGAAGAGTTTTACTGCCTGTCAGCTCTGAACCAGCTTGTTCCTCCTGAAAACGTAAATCTTCTGTAGGAACACCTCACAGATGCACTTTCATTTCTGTAATTTTCTATCAAACAAACAGGAAGAAGTGGTTCATTTGTTGGGGGACTATTTTCTCTGGCGGATGAATCCACAAGTGGTGCTTTAACACAATATTTTCCATGTGAACTGAAAAGTGTCCCATGTTGTTCAGACTACAGTCTCCAACAGGGGGAGCTGTTTACTCACAGTTAGCTGTTCTAGTTTGAGTTTGTCATCTGTAGTGAAACCACAGGAAGCTGGACAGTAAACATGTGAAACAATCTTCTATTATTCAGTCCGTCTGCTTTATGCTGAAGGTCAGTCTGACTCTTTCCAACAGGTGTTGAGACCCTGCTCACTCGCCCTGGAAACCAAAACCCACGCTAACCAAGGACTGAGCGGCTCTGTGATGGTGGAGGAAGTCATTATCAAGGTCCGTTCATTTGTCTCAGTTTGTAAAAATGTATAAATGGATGTAATCAGATTTTAAAATGCTTGTTTAAAACCCGTCTGACCATTGGCTGGCCTCACGGTGATATCAGTGTGTCGTCATAAAGAAACAGCGAAGACCAGTTCCAGGTGGTGGGCCAACAATGTACTCATCATCAGCGGGTCTTTGTCCTGCAGATCTCACCGTTCATCCTCAACACGGTGATGACAATAACAGCCGCCATGACGGCAAAGCAGTGTGACGAGCAGAGTCAGGAGTTAAGGCCGGGCGTCGACGACCTCTGGTCGGTCATGAACATCTACGGCTGTAATTTCTGGTTCCTGGGGGTGGACCAGGCTGCCGAGGTCACCGAGAACTTCAGAGAGCAGGACGGACACAACGAGGGCGAGAGCTTTGCTGCAGAGGTCAAGGTACAACATCTCAGAATAAACATTTTAGTTTTTTAGAATGAGGTGGGTGGATCTGTTTCCTGTTGATGATGTGTTGTCGCCCCACAGGTGGTCCAGGTGACTCTGGAGTCCGGTTTGGGTCATCGGACCGTCCCTCTGCTGCTGGCCGAGTCCTCCTTCAATGGATCGGCCAAAAACTGGTCGTCTCTGCTGCAGCTGACAGCCGACATGACGCTGGAGGTAAGGCCTGGTCCTTTAGACGTGAGCCGGTCCTTCACACCTGAATCTGAGCCAGATGTTTCATCATGTGTGTTGCTGACATGTGTCTGCAGGTTAACTACTTTAATGAGCTTCATGCAGTGTGGGAGCCTCTGATCGAACGAGTTGACAGTGGCAAACGCAGATGGAACCTGCAGCTCGAGGTAAACCTACTAGCTGTTAGCCATTAGCTGCTGCTCCACCCCTTCTCTTTTACCTTTGTGTTTGTAAGCTGCAGATGTTTTGTTTCTGGTACATTAAATCTCTTGGAGCTGTTCAAATTGCTGTCCCTGGCGTTTACACTGTCCTCTACTGAACCTGGACGTTGTTCCTGATGCACTTTGTCATTGAGGCCGCTCAGAATCACATCTGACAAATAAATCAGTTACAATCAACCAATCACATCCCAGCACCTGCACCATCACCAGACAGTAACACCAAAATGCAATATACCGTTTGCAGCCATAAGAAATAATACAGACACAGTTTCAGCCTGTTCTGCAGTATAAACAATGTCTAAATCCATGAACACTTTGAGGTTTCAGACAGTTCTGTCCTCCCAAAAGAAGGTCTGAAGTTCATTCAAATATCCATTCCCTTCTGATGAGTCCCCAAAATAATCAATGAAGTATTTACAGAAAATTTGCCTCGGTGTCCAGAACAGTTCCAGTGTAAGCACTCCCCAGAAAGAATCAGTTTCTATGGTCAGCACTGATCCGGCCCGGAGTCACCTGTTGGTCTGCAGTCAGAGTCAGCCAGGAAGTACACATTTACTATTTCTCAGCCCGGAGTGTTGGAACGGCAACGGTGGAGAGTATCTTATAGATTTGAGAAGGACTGACGTCTCTGCAGTCGGTTCTGATGGGCCGACGGACCACCCCTTATCCCCATCAGCTGTGCCATGCTGATGGGTTGAACTGTGTTGGCATAGAAGACTGGATGTCACTGAATGAATGAATACGTATGTGTTGACGGGGCCCTCTGTAGGAAGGTATACTGAGATCGTGTTGTCAGAAAGTGGACACTGGAGAGACAAGGACAGTCCAACAGTGTCCAGAAGGTTCAGCGTATCAGGGCGTGTCTGTTTCTTAACTTCCTCAGTGACCTCCAGGAAAACGGACGGGTCTTCCCCTGAATCTCTGTCTCCTCTATGGAGGACTCATTCATCAGGAGTTCATCCACCATCCAACAAGATCCTCAATCAGGGTCAGCAGTTCTCCTCCTTGCCGAAAACAGTCTAGGCTAAGTCCCGTCCCTCTTCTAAGTCATCCGATGGTTTGCCAGAACCTCTTCGAGGTCGGCTGAAAGCCTCCATTTACAGGGAGCCATTGCAGAGAAGCTAGAACAGATGAAACAAGATCTCTTTTCCTGGTTCTTGTCAGAACATGTGCCGCTGCGTTCTAGATCAACTGGAGAGTCTAAAGGGACTTATTCAGCCTGATAATAAGGAACTGCAGTAATCCAGGATAGAAGGAACATATGCATGGACTAGTTTTTCCCTTTATGTATCCATTCATTATCTGTGCCTGCTTACTTAGAGTCTTCATGTCACCTGCATGTCTTTGGACTATGGGAGGAAACCCAGTCCAGTACAGGTGTCTTTAGTAAAGTGCACGCAGGATAAGGTCGGTGTTAGATCTGGAGTCTGCGCCAGCAGATGATGATTGTTAAATTAGTTAGATCCAAATTACAAAAACACCTGATAAGCATTGTCTTTGTCTTTGTTCCTGCAGATGAAGAACAACCCGGTCCAGGACAAGAGTCCCGTTCACGGAGACGACTTCGTCATTCTTCCTGAACCTCGCACAGCCATCAGCATCTGCTCCAAAGACACCATGAACATCACCGTCTCCCAGTGCAGCCTCAACGTCTTGTACAACCTCGCCAAGGTACACATCCTAACGTCTCCTGCCACCTCGACAAGGTACACATCATAACGTCTTCCACCACCTCCACAAGTTACACATCATAACGTCTTCCGCCACCTCGCCAAGGTACACATCCTAACGTCTCCTGCCACCTCGCCAAGGTACACATCCTAACGTCTCTCGCCACCTCGCCAAGGTACACATCCTAACGTCTCCTGCCACCTCGCCAAGGTACACATCCTAACGTCTTCCGCCACCTCGACAAGGTACACATCCTAACGTCTTCCGCCACCTCGACAAGGTACACATCCTAACGTCTTCCGCCACCTCGCCAAGGTACACATCTTAACGTCTTCCGCCACCTCGCCAAGGTACACATCTTAACGTCTTCCGCCACCTCAACAAGGTACACATTATAACGTCCTCATTATACTGATATATCACCCAGCCCTAGTCCACATGTTTCTTGTGTTATTAACTGTGATGTTTGCCATGTTACACATGGAGCTGTTGGATCCGTCCCCTGAGAGTACCTGACCTAGGATTTACTAGCACCTCCTGAGCAGAGCTGACATTTAGGTTCAGGAACAGTAGAAACAAAAGCAGAACCAGACACAATAGAAACTCCTGAAGTTACTGTGTTCTGAGACACCAACTGTTCATTCAGTGTATGAACAGCAGCAGTTGAACATTAATCATTTGCCCTTGTTTTGATCAGGTGTTCTCAGAGGGCACAGCCTCCACCTTCGACTCCTCTTTGAAAGAGAAAGCCCCCTTCACCATCAGAAACTCTCTTGGGATTCCTCTCATCGTGCAGCACAGCAGCAACCTGAGGCCGGTGGGGTCATCAGCGCAGGGACGGATACATGAGCTGTCCGTGGATCAGAGCATGGACCTGGAGTACTCTGTGTTCGAGCCGTCATCACGGGGCAAACTGTCAGCTCTGCAGCGGCAAGAGAGCTGCCTGTTCCACCTCACCATCGGTCAGAACGCTTCCCCTTCACTACAGTCTCTTTCTGCAACATATTTTACCTGCTGCGTGTATATAAGGAAGTACTGACTAAAGCAAAAAGGTTTCAGCTGAGATTTAAGGCCTCAGCAGAGTCAGACGGTCTCATGCAGCAGGATTCAGCAGGAAGGTTCTTCCAGAGAAAAGGCTAACGCTTAGATAATAATAGACGGATACCATTAGCCACAGTGATGTTGTTGGAGGTGCTCTAAACATCAGAACCACAGTCTAGCAGGACATTTGGATAGTAGCAGTTTTATTTATCTATGAATCTGTATAACTGTGTGAGAATAAAGATTCAAATTGGCTAACGTGTCTCTGAACCCACAGTTCCCTCCGGATACAGCGAGATCTCCAACATCGCTGTAGACAAACCGGGTCGACGTCTCTACAACATCCGTAGTCCGTTGATACCGGAGGCGGTCTCTGTGCTGCTGCAGATCGACGCTGCAGAGGGCAACAAGGTCATCACTGTCCGTTCGCCGCTGCAGGTCCGAATCCCAAACATAGTTCTCTGAAAGTCTAATATGTTTTGCTGAACCGGCAACAGGTTCATTTTTGTCTCTGTTTGTGTTTTCAGATAAAGAATCACTTCTCTGTGCCGTTCACCATCCTGATGTACTGTCCAAAGTCCAGGAGCCTGCAGAGCGTCGGACAGGCCGAACCTGAGAAAGAGTTTCACATCGCCTTAGAAACATACAGGTACCATCGCGCTGCCTTGCTCAGGGCAACAAGGGAACACGCCGCACCGTGAGCGTGGTGTCACTTTCCATCTCTGTAGTTTCATTTTTTTCATGTTCACATAGACGCTCTCTACTGCGCTAAACATTACGTCTGTTTACACCCAGAGTAAAAAAGAACAGCTGTTATATTATCCAGACAGCATGGGCAAAGGTAGGCGTCAGCTTCGTGATTGCTTCTTAAAAAGAGAGCGAACAAGAGCGAGAGGTCTCTTTCAGGTGGATTTAGTTTTAGTTGAACCGGCAGATTGGCTGTTTGACTGAATTGCTGACGGTGTGTAGTTCCTCTGGCGCCAGGGGTGCAGTAGATGTTGACCGTGTAGTCACAAAACTTTACCCTCCTCCCTTCCAGATGTCAGCTGTTTGTACGTCCGGCGGGTCGTCTGGAGGCTCAGTACGGTCCGTCCTCCACCTGCGTGGCGTGGAAGGAGCAGGTGCACCGCAGCTCGGAGGTGCGTTCGGTGCTGCAGTGTCCGGCGGCCGACAGCAGCCTGCTGCCGCTGATGGTCAGCACGCTGGCTGTCCCCGACGACCTGCGACACATCGCCAGCCACGGAGAGGAAGACTGGTACCCCGCCTACGTCATCCACCTCCACCCTGTGGCCACGCTACGCAACCTGCTGCCCTACACCGTCCGCTACTTGATGGAGGTACACAGAAAGAAGCAGAAGAGAGTCAACAACAGATAATCAAAGCACGATGATTGATTAGGTTCAGTTAGATCTGAATCTGCTTTGATCTGATCTGGTCTGATCTGGTCTCTCCCTCCTCAGAACTCAGCAGACACTTATGAGCTTCAGGAAGGAAGCACGTCGGACCTCCTGAACGCTCGTGTCTCAGGTGAGATCATGTCGTTGGTGCTGATGAGGTATCAGGGCCGCGACTGGCACGGACATCTTCGTGTCGAACAGGAAATGCCGGAGTTCTTTGCCGTGTGTCTCACGTGTGACTCGGACACCAACGTGACGGTGGATGTGAGCGTTCACGTGACGAGGACGGCGAGCCGCCTGCTGCTGTCACTCTTCAGCCCGTACTGGATCATCAACAAAACTTCTCGAGTGCTGCAGTACAGAGCAGAGGACGTCAGCTTCAAACACCCGGCCGACTGCCGAGCATCTTCCTGTTCTCTTTCAGGAAAAAGAACCTCTTCAGCAAGAACAAGGTGAGAAAGACACTTGGACAGATTCAGAGTTCCCATCGAGTCTACAGAGGCAATATCTGTGGCTGAGGCAACGTCCATCCGATAATAGTCACCCCTGCAACCATCAGCTAGATCTCCATCCATTTCCTGCTCTCTAGAGAAGAAACGCGTTAGATTTGAATGACCAGACAAACCCAGGTCACATCCTACCTGCAGTTCCTTGAATGGCCACT